TCCAAACAAATACACAATCTTTACACTTCTTTCTGGTCTTTGGGACCACTTAAAGACCCTGGTCTGCTCATCTTAGAGCCTCAGACAGGGTACGGAGCACAAGCAGATCAGTCAGATACTGAGGGGCCAATACATATATATGTTTAAAATGTAAAAATAATTTTAAAGTCAATACGAAGGTGCACAGGGAGCCAGCGAAAAGAACAACAAACAGGGGCCATGTTATTTTTGGCTCTGTGAAGAAGCCAACCAGTGGAGGTGGCTCCTGGTCCTCGTTGTAGGAAGAAACTCTGAAGACCTAGGACTGTGTCTCCAGCTGGCCTGGGTGCCTCGGCTCAGACCGCTGCCTCTGAGACCCAACAAAACTCACAGTGAATCTCCTCCTTCTGTGTGGATTTACCCTCGCAATTATCGGCCAAAGCGTTTTGAGTAGTTACAATCTTTTGTCATCGTCTTCTATGGTCTTCAGTGGTCAATTAGAGTTTGTGTGTTCGGCTCAAGATAATGGCAGTAATCTTTTTTCAAAACAGGAACACAGGAGGCTTTATTAGAATTACATATTGGTTGGCAATTAACTGACACTGCAGTAGTACATACGACTCTGAAGATAATATTTTCAAGATAACATTTATTGTTACTGTACGAGAAATATGGTTTGGATTTGTCGCTTAGAGCACGGCATGATGATTGCATAAGGGGAATGAAGATTATGAGATGTAATCCTTCAGGGCCTATAGACCTTGGTAGCTAGAGAAGGGAGAAAAGCCTGACCAGCTAACGAGGCGGAGATGGGGAGGAGGAGAGTTGCTGCATGAGTGAAGCTTCCTTGCAATATGAAGTTATTTTAATTGTTTTATTTGGTTGGGACAGTTCACGTTAATAAACTCACCTCTCCCACAGTCGCACTCACAAACACACACTCATTCACCCTGAACTATAGTACGTGTTTTTAGTGGTAATGGAAACAAGAGCACCCAGAGGCACAGGAATAACATGCCAACTCTACACAGAAAAAGCTGGAGGTGGGATCAAACCCAGGACCTACTTGCTGTCTGTGAAGCACAAGCGTTAAGCACTGTAGCACCGTGTCGCCTTGATGCAGGGGAGTGTTGGAAGTGAAGCGCTGCGGCTGAGTTTGATTGACAGCTGCTGTTGCCGTGAACCAAGACGCACTGAGCTTAGTTCTTCCTGTACAGTCTGAATTTTGCAGAGCCCCACTTTATATTCCTTTTGTGGCTTAAGACACGCATCTGGCAAACCTTAATAGGGAAAATTTTGCAGGTGAAAAAATAAGATAGTTTAAGATATATATACGGTGGAGACCAGAAGTTAGCATTGTGTAAGATATGTTTAGATGTAGGTCAGTTATTTCTGTCTTTATTTCAATAAAGTGCAATATTGAGAGAGGGGATTCTTTGTGGTGTTAAATATCACTCTCCACAGACTCAGAAGTGTATTTTTTCCCTGGAGGTAATGGTGTGTTCATGTGTGATACAAGCTTTTATCTTGTTTGTGGTTCATTCTGGTTCAGCTCCAAATATCAAGAAATTGCAGCCAGGGCATCTATGGGAAAGATGTTGTGGCTCTTCTCCCCACGGGGTTCGGCAAAAGCCTTATTTTCCAGTTAGCTCCGTCCAGTTAGCCAAAGAAGATGGCTAGGCTAAATGCTAGCGACTCACTCGGGTGGATTCCATATGTCACTGTTGATTGGGTAAACTCAGATCCAATCGTTTCAGTCTGCAAAAGGAGTTAACCCCTAACACCGCTAGACAAAGCTCAATAGAGAGAATCCAGACTTTGGTATGAAATGAAATGAGTACATTAGGTATGAACAGGTCTGAATGTAAATGAGAGAGTGAATGGATGGTGTTGACTGGGGGCTGATGGTCCAGTGTGTTCGGCGACTTGCTTCTGTCCTCACCGTGTGTGAAATGATTGGAACAATATCTGAACTCTGAACATCGTAAAGCGCTTTGGGTGACCTTGGTCTGTAAAATGGCCAATATAAAACATTACTTACTTACTTACAATGGTATGGTAAGACCAGGCTACTAAACAGTAAAAGCAGCACAATCTGTCTCTCTCACTATAGTCTAAAACTGTTTTAATACTTTTCGAAAAGAGCACTGTAAACCTGGATCTTGTAAACGCTTGAACTGTTTAGTTGTCTTTGCTTACGCTCCCATGTTTTTGTCAAAATAGTTGTGGCTACTAATCTTTACGAGCTGTTTGTACTACTTTTGCGTGTTGCTGGATGAAATAATAATGTTAAGCAATAATTACTAAACCAGGTAAATTACTTAGAGGGGTGGGGTCTATTTTGTATTTATTTTTACCAACCGTAATTGACAGGGCCAAGCCAAAGTAGCCCTATAGTAAGTAAGTAAGTCAGTAATGTTTATTTATATAGCGCATTTTACAGACCAAGGTCACCCAAAGCGCTTTACAATATTCAGGGCCCAGATATTGTTCCAATCATTCCACACACGGTGATGACAGAAGCAAGTCCAGAACACACTGGACCATCAGCCCCCAGTCAACACCATCCATTCACTCTTTCATCTACATTCAGACCTATTGTGCATGTTTTTAATGGTAGGGGAAACCGGAGCACCCGCAGGAAACCTATGCAGACACGGGGGGAGAACATGAAAACTCCACTCAGAAAGGCCCTGTTCTGACCGGGATTCGAACCCAGGACCTTCTATAGTGCCTGGGTCAACATTGCATATTGGTTATATACAAAGGAAAGATCACTGTGCTTGCATGCTGTACTTGGCTGAAACAAAGCTATAATTAAGTGTTAGCATAATTGCTTCTCTATCGGAGAGTTGTTAAGTTCAAGACTAATATGACTCTCAAACGAATTCATTGTAAGTACATGTCATTTCTAAAACTGATAAGCACAAACATTTTGGAAATCAGTCTAGTGAGCTAATGAGTGAACTTATATTGTTATTCATTCATTCATTCATTCATTTATTTATTTGAGCAGAAACTTATTTAAAACATTTTACAGAAGAAAACAAAACAAGACTATTGTGCTCAAAAGGAGTAGGAAGAAGTTCAAAGAACTTATAATAAACCTACCCCTTATCTCTCATTCAAGTAACACAAAAATCACAAAGGATTTTTCATTTACAGTCGTACAAAATAAATAAAGGATTTATCATTTACAGTTTTACAAAAATAAATACACCATATGGTATTTAATATGTATAGCAATTATATTGCAACATCACTTCATCTGACTGAAATCGACACATTTTTTACAAACTCAATGCATTGAACTTATGCATGTGTAAACGTTCGGTTTTAATGACATTTTTTTTTTTTGTTTTTTTTTTTTTCTTTTTTTCCATCCCTCTCTACAATACCTCAATCCTCATATACGGGCAAACCCCATAACAACAACAAAAAAGTGCGAGTGTGTGCCTGTCTGTGAAAATAATAGTAATTATGATACTTCACTAGCATAATTTTTAAAGATAATGTCTTTACATGTTTTTTTAAAGTGTACTAGTGTTTTGCTCTGTTTTGTGTCTTTATTTAGGTCATTCCACAATGTTATTCCTGCTTGGGAGATACACATACTTTTGAGGGTGGTGTGAACACAATGTTTCCTCATCACAAATTCTCCTCTTAAATTATAAGTTCCTTCTCTACTGCTGAACAATTTCTGTGTGTTCCTAGGGAGAAGGTCACGACTTGCTTTGTATAATACAACAAGAGTTTTAAATTTAATTAAGTCTTCAATTTTCATTATACGAGATGCTAAGAACAACTCATTTGTATGGTCCCTAAAACCAACGTTATGAACGATTCTTATGGCTTTTTTCTGAAGTTTTAAAAGTGGATCTAAATGAGTTTTATAAGTGTTACCCCACACCTCCGCACAGTAGCTGATATATGGGAGAATTAAAGAACTATATATACTTAAAATCACACCCAGAAATTTACATTCGTGAACTCTCTCTATTTCCATATTGTTGATTTTAAGTTTTACTTCAGTGTCTTTGATTCGTTTCCCAAAAATCATCATTTTTGTTTTCCTAATATTCATTGACAGTTTGTTATTATCGAACCATTGTTTTAACTTGTTTATTTCTGTTGAGATTTCCGTCATAAGAAGCTGTAAATCCTTTCCTGAACACAGAATCGTTGTATCGTCAGCAAATAGTATGAATTTCAGTTTAGAAGAGTTATAACAGAGATCATTTATATATAATAAAAACAACATAGGACCCAAAATCGATCCTTGTGGCACCCCGCAAGTAATATTCTGCATTTCAGACATACATTCCTCCAGTTGAACATACTGTTTCCGGCCTGAGAGGTATGATTTGACCCAGTTCAGTGCAAGTCCACGAATGCCATATTTTTCCATTTTTTGCAGTAGTATTTGATGGTTCTTTGTGTCAAACGCTTTTTTAAGGTCTATAAATATTCCTACAGTTATGTTTATGGTATTTATAAAACTAATTAACTATCCGGGTTTACAGTGAGGACGAGACTTTGAGCGAAATAAAAGCGTGTGAGTTGTAACCATAATGTATTAAAAACATATAGAAGTATGTTATTCTTACGCACACGCAGCTCTTCAACACTCTCACGCTGTACATCGTTGAATGTTGTTTTCTTCTATTCACTCACTTTGACAAAAAAAACTGTTCTTGCTGAAAGAAACCTTGAATTCATTGTTATCTTTTCTCTTTCCATCCCACACAGAGGGATAAGGTCATCGATGACATGGAAGAGTGAGTATTAAACCCTTTCATACCCACTGAACCGAAATCGTTGTCCTAAAAACATGAATGAAGCAGCGTTGGAAAATTGCTGCTTTGATTTCCCACCGTGACTATGACTTTTGAGACACACATGGGTCCTAAAGACTACACAATTATTTTTACTTGATGAAAAAGTGAGGGGCTTTGAATGTTTCCCTGCAGGATGTGAATTGTGTATTTTATCATGTTTCCTTGTTTCCTTCTAGTAAAAAAATGTCGAGGAGTCGGATATTTCTGCACGGGAAAAAGAAATTCAACATGGATCCGAAAAAGGTATGTTGTTTCTACGTTGTATCTATCGCAGGGTGTCAAACTCATTTCGATCAGAGGCCAAATTCAATAACAAGAGTTGGTTGGGGCCAAAAGTATAAAAGTTAAATTTTTTCACACATTAAGTTTGGATTCAATTCCAACTGGGCCAATTATGAGGAAGAGATGTATTTGCAAGGCTGATAGTCAGATACAAACGATAGAGCCAAACTTAAGCCTAATTTAAATGGTTTTCTTCGAAACCCATTTTTGTTTGTTAACATTTCAGAACAGATACAAAACTATATGGTTGTTTTCCTGAGGCAATAGGCTTTATATTGATGTATAACATGCCATAGTAGCCAGTACCATTATGATCATTTCAGGGGCCACTAAAAAAGAGTTAACATGGCTGATCTATGAGGAAATTTGTCCAAATGTATCTTTATATGAGCACATTCCAATGCATGGGACAAAGCAAAATGATCTTGTTTTAAAAAGATACAAGAAAAGTCTCCCTTGGAATGAGAAAATAATGTTTCTTGAAGTGAGACTAAATGGCCAATCTTGTTTTAAACAGTCAGAATGGGCTCAAACTAAGATAAATAAAACTTGGTTCAAGCAATTACTACCTCATACTTCATCACATTTTACAGTGCATTTACTGTATATATAAACATGGCCACAGCCTGAATCGAGATCACCCCTGACATCTGACTCTGTGTAAGCGTTGGATTGTATGAAGAAACACGTCCTTTGATTTCTACAGAGAATATACGGTACACATAATATTGAAATTGTGATTGACTATCAAGGCAACAGTTCTTCTTTACACATTTCCCGCACAGGCGTTTATTACTGTAAAAGTGTAAATGGTAGAAACGGTGATAGCTTCAACACTGGCAGCATACTCCGCGCTCCAGCGTCTGAGGTCTCATTAAGTCCAGTTAAGAGCCGTGTAGGTCCATGGACTCGAAGGTCAACAAACCGACACGATGCAGTCAGTTCGCTCCTCACATGTCGCCTGCAGTTTAGAGAGAGCGAGAAAAGCCACATCCTGTTCCCTGAAACGAGACCAGAACTCCTCCCACAACAACACTGCGGTGCAAAGTGCAAGAGAGTTATGTATATTTACTTATACTGCGGCAGGTCACACTTTTACACATGACTTTACACTGCAAAAAGGAGGAATAATAATGTCAAAAATGGCTCAAATTTGATTAAATATAATGTATTGTTAGCAAACTTTGACTGCCTTAAAACAAGATTTCAGAACGGACTTAGGGTTTCAAAAAGCTACAAGAAAATTCTCCCTAGGAATGAGAAAATAAAGCAGCAGTTATTGACATGGGACTAAATGACTTTGTCCCATTGGCAAATCTTGTTTTAAGAGTAAGGATTAAAAAAGCACTAAATTCAGGCAATTATTACCTCATATTTGCACATTTTGTACAGAGTGATCCTTGTTTGTTCGTGGCTCATGGACCCCTCCCAGTTAATCACATACAGTGGCCTGAAAAAGTGTCCGAAGCTTTTGGAATTTCTCACATCTCTGCATAAAATCATCATCAAATGTGATCTGATCTTTTTCAAAATCACACAGATGAAAAAACAGTCTCTGCTTAAAATACAACCAGCAAAAACATTTACAGGTTGTCCTATTTTAAATGAGGATAACATGCAAACAATGACAGAATGAGGGGGCGGGGATATCTACTGTAACTGAACCATCTACCGTATCTAAAGAATGAGTTGTGTGTGTGTGTGTGTGTGTGTGTGTGTGTGTGTATAATGACACATGGAGCATTTTGAGTGTAAACAAACTATAATAAACCAGTACATTACTATTTTTCATTATAACACGCACACAAAACCTCAGAGAATCAGTGTTTCTTGGTCAATGTCTCTATTTATACATAAAATCCTGGCAGACATAGGCCGTTCCCTCACTGCACATCCTGACAGTACTTCAGATTGAGAGGACCCACGAGGAGCCGCCGTGTTTGGCGGTAATTGCGTCTGCGTCCACTTCAACACGACAGAAACGAAAGGAGGAAAATGTCACGATTTGGCCGTGAGCCCCCCACAGAGAGCAAAAGGAAAGACACATTAAATATTCATAAAACTTGCCTCCGCCTGTCCGCTTTGATTTTAACTCGATCGCTCTTGGCTAAAGCTGGATTGGGTTTTTAAATACCTCTGAAATGAATAGTATGACAGGAAGTAAGTCTCGTGATATTTAATTCAAGAGTTTGATAAAAGCCTGAGAAGAGAAACTTGTTCTTGGGCTTTTCATGAAGTAGTGTTTTGTTCAGCTGTAGAAGGGAACCTTGTTTGCCCAAGGATTTTAGTTACAATAAAACCTAACATAACCTCTCCCAAAGTGATTTTTTCGATTTTTCAGAATCAATCATTTTTATTGCCACGTAAGTAACAGGAGGTCACAGACTTGGAAATTGCTTTGGCTCAGTGCAACAGTCAGAAAGAGATAATAAAAATAAGAATAAAAAACACTTCTAGAGTTACAGTTACTATTTACAATATACAAGTGCACATGGTGCACACAATGTAAGGTGACAGCAGTACAGTGAAGTAAAGTGACTTTATAAAGGGCGGGGGGACAGGTTAAGAAGTGTCCAAGAGTCCAACAACAGAGAGGAAGAAACTGTTCTTGTGGCGGGAGGTTCTAGTCCTGATGGACCGCAGCCTCCTGCCTGAGGGGAGTGGTTGGAATAGTCCATGTGCAGGGTGAGAGGGGTCGGCTGTGATACGACCAGCCCGGCCTCGAGCTCGGGCGACGTACAGGTCCTGCAGCGATGGAAGGCTGCGGCCGATCACTTCCTCTGCAGAGCGCACAATGCGCTGTAGTCTCTGTTTGTCCCTGACTGTGGCTCCAGCGAACCACACGGTGATGGAGGAGGTGAGGATGGACTCGATGATGGCCGTGTAGAACTGCACCAACATCTGTGCAGGCAGCTTGGCTTTCCTGAGCTGCCGCAGGAAGTACATCCTCTGCTGGGCCTTCTTGATGAGGGAGCTGATGGTCGGCTCCCACTTGAGGTCCTGGGTGATGGTGGTGCCCAGGAAACGGAAGGACTCTACAGAGGTGATGGGGGAGTCCATCACGGAGGGTGGGGGCGGGGGGACAGTGCTCTTCCTGAAGTCCACAATCATCGTCCGCGAACTTGATCAGCTTCACGGAGTCATGGCTGGAGGTGCAGTGGTTGGTGTACAGGGAGAAGAGCAGGGGAGAAAGAACACAGCCCTGTGGGGCTCCTGTATTTATAATCCGAGAGTCCGAGACATTCTTCCCCAGACTCACTCGCTGCTTCCTGTCCGTCAGGAAGTCAGTGATCCACCTGCAGGTGGAATCGGGCACGTTGAGCTGGGATAGCTTGTCCTGGAGCAGGGATGGCAGGATTGTGTTGAAGGCAGAGCTGAAGTCCACGAACAGGACCCTGGCGTAGGTCCCCGGGGAGTCCAGGTGCTGTAGGATGTGGTGGAGGGCCAGGTTAATGGCGTCGTCTACAGATCTGTTGGCTCTGTAGGCGAACTGCAGGGGGTCCAGGAGGGGGGAGGTGAGGGACTTGAGATGGGAGAGAACCAGGCGTTCAAATGACTTCATGACGACAGACGTAAGTGCTACAGGTCTGTAGTCGTTGAGTCCTGTGATCCTGGGCTTCTTCGGCACATTTTTGTGCTCTGTTAAAGGATTTCAACCCAAGAAGCTTCAATTAAATCTATGAAAGAAAGACATTTTGACATTTTGAGGACTTTGGATTTTAGCACAGTTTTTTATTACGGCCCTTTTAAGTTCATAGAGAGATAAATTGCAGCTTCTAATGCAGGACATTTACAGAAAAAAAGAAAAAATAGCATACAGCTCAAGAGCAGAGACTAAAATTCTTAAAAATGTTTTTGTCTTGGCGCAAACCTTTCTTTTGAACTTTGATTTGTTTTATTACTTCACACAAATGTTTATCATGTGTACTTATATACTACAAAATTGCATTAAGATTTGTAAGCACGCCTTTATATATATTGTTTTACTTTTATGACTAGTTTGCGCCATGAACCAAAGCAAATTCCAAATTCGGAAATACAAAAAAAATCAGAGTGTGCTTTTCCTGCAACATTGAAAATTCCCCCAAAATTAGCGGGAACCAATAATGTTCCTCTTATCTTCATTCACTTGTCGTCCTTCCTTTGTCAATCCCACGTTTGTCCCTGACTCATTGATTTTGTTGATTTAAAAATAGTTCAATTGTTGTTTTGTTTCACTCCTGCGTTTTCGGTTCCTTTTGTCATTTCGTGGATTAAGTTTGTCTGCAGAAATCCCACACTGAACATTGTAATCCTTCTGCACCCCAGGCTAAGATTGTGCAGCCGAGGATCTAGTTTCCCATCCTGGCTCATACTGTATGTTCCATATTCCCCCTGGTCTGTCAGTTTGCTCACCCCTTCTCCCTCCGCCTGGTTTTTGCAGCCAGAAACACAACTGAATCAGGTTTGTGCATTACAGTCACGTGTGCAGCGTCAGGACAGTGTGAGAGGAGATGGCAGCACACGTGAGACCCTATAAGTCTGTTCAAAACTACATCCCATTAATTTCTATGTATTCTTGTATAGCCCTTAATCACAACAGTATCACCAGACAACTTTACAAAACCATTGAAAATGCCAACACAGATCCGAGAATCAAAGAGTTAAAACACAAGAATAGTAAATGTATGAAACACATAGAGCCATTGGTCCATAAGGGGCAGAGACCAATGTCCGTAGAAGTTGATAAAGGTTGATAAATGTCGTTTGATTGGAGGGTCCTAGATCATCACCACTGTCTTTAGACCCTCATCCAGTAGTTAAAACCACAGCAGCTAACAACCCTGGAAGTGTGTATTAACCAAACTGTGTCTATTTCTCATGGTCGCAGCTGATTTGACCTCCACCCATCATGCACCCAACACCCATCATGCACCTATCATACACCCATCAGGCACCCATCATGCACCCATCAGGCACTCATCAGGCACCCATCAGGCACCCATCAGTAACGCCTCAATGACCTCTACCGCTTTTTGTTATATATATTGCTTTTGTCTCCTTTTTAAACTCACATTTCAAACCTTATACTTATATTCTGCTGTTTCAACATAAAACGATTGCATATTTCATGGACTTTTTTTATTTTATTTGATGTATTTTATTCTTTGCATTGTGATCTGTGTTGTCAAACTGCTCTTGTGAGGCACTTTGAATTGCCTTTCCATACACACACAAATTGCGCTATACAAACACAAATGACGGTTGGGCTGACACTGCTGTTCCCCACAGGGCGTGCGGTACCTGGTGGACTGTGGGCTGCTGGAGTGGAGGCCTGAACCTGTCTCGGAGTTTCTCTACAAAGAAGAAGGGCTTAACAAAACGGCCATCGGGAACTTCTTAGGAGAAAGGTACGACTTCACCCGTTCACCTCGACTCGGACTCAGTGGGTCCTTTTTTCCAACTCGAGGGCCGACACTTTCACACCGTCCTTTCTCTTTGCCCTGCACTAATATGTCTTTGATTGTATTTTAGTTAAGTTTGCATGAGCACAACCCTGAGCAAGACTTTTAGATGAAGGTTATAAAGTTAATATTGAAATGAAAGAGACAGTGATTATCTATGTACTGTAGCTTTCTTGACTTTTCCTTGACATTTTCTGTTATTATTCAAATAGTCCAGGTGGAGAAAATATACACATTTTCAAACACATTTTTTAACAATGGCGACTCTCACTGATATTTGCTGTGGTTTGCTGCCCCCGTATTATCTCTTGTGCGACCCGTGTGTGTATTCTTCACCTGACCCATATCAAGGGATCAAAAAGCATTGGTCTTATTGCCTTCTAAATCCCTGCTCTATATAGTTGTTTGTTCAGACTGCATGCTTCGCCAAATACTCACTCCAGCTTTTGTTTCGCTCAGTGTGTAACAAGAGGCAACCTTGAAAAAAACGTGTGATTTTGCTCAGTGGGAATGAGACGTTGGAGCCTGAGAGAGACACAGCCACAGTCGCTCATGATGGCACTATTGTTGCATACACCCATTGTGAAAAACAGAAGTTTATATATTTATATTGTTTATTTTAAACTTCCTATTTTTTTTTTCCAATTGAGCAACTGTGTCTCTGGTCTCTCTCTGACCTCTCTCTGGTCTCTCTGGTCTCTCTCTGGTCTCTCTGGTCTCTCTCTGACCTCTCTCTGACCTCTCTCTGACCTCTCTCTGGTCTCTCTCTGGTCTCTCTGGACTTTATCTATGGTTTCTCTCTGGCCTCTCTGGTCTCTCTCTGATCTCTCTCTGGTCTCACTCTGGTCTCTCTCTGGTCTCTCTCTGGTCTCTTTCCGGTCTCTCTCTGGTGTCTCTCTCTGGTGTCTCTCTGGTCTCTCTCTCTGGTCTCTTTCTATGGTCTCTCTCTGGTCTCTCTCTGGCCTCTCTCTGCTCTCTCTGGTTTCTCTCTGGTTTCAGTCTGGCCATCTCTCTGGCCTCTCTCCGGTCTCGCTCTGGTCTCTCTCTGGCCTCTCTCTGGCCTCTCTCTGGCCTCTCTCTGGTCTCTCTCTGGTCTCTCTCTGGTTTCAGTCTGGCCATCTCTCTGGCCTCTCTCTGGTCTCTTTCTGGTCTCTCTCTATAGTCTCCCTCTGGTGTCTCTCTCTGGTCTCTCTCTGGTTTCTCTGTGGTCTCGCTGTAGAACAAGGACAGAGGCCATGCGGTGCAGGACTGAGACTGTACACATGGTTTGTCACTGAAACTACTCTCTGAGGCAGAGAGTCCTGCAGGGAGTGATAGTCACGGTTCAGCATTGAGTCGATCGATAATAAACACATTATGACACAGGAACAATGTCATGAAAATCCAAAAGCTCAGACCCTTTTTACACCATGCCCTCTTTAAAAATGATCTGTTTCTCTGGCTCTGCAGGGCCCTTTCCTTTTTGGGCACATCATGCATAAATCATAACGGCCGGCTCAGTGCGGGCTGTGCCTTTGTCCTGGACTCTCATATACAATACATGTGCTTTTTTTCTTGTTTGTGTTTCAGAGAGGAAATGCATTTGGCGGTGCTGCGAGCCTTTGTGGAGCTGCATGAGTTCTCCGACTTGAATCTGGTGCAAGCTTTGAGGTTTGTGTGTTACAAAAAAAAAAAAAAGAAAAGCAAGCAACAAAAGACAACAACATCCAGCTGCTTTATGTCAACAAATTCAAAATATAGAAGTACTTTTATTTAGAGAGATAGTTGGCATTACCTCAAGATATTTTACTTGTGTAAGACATGTATTTTATCTTTTGTTTATACTTGTTTATGTTGCATCATATAAGATTAATGGCCAGAAATGAGCACAATTTTAGCCAATCAGGAGCCAGACTGTTTCCACTGTTTGTCAAATTTTGCAAACAGGAGGTCCCTGAATATTGGTTATTATGGGTCATATGATTATTTGCGAAGTCTAAAAACATAAAAACAATAAAAACAGAGCGTTAAAACCATTTTCATTATGTTTGCAGGGTATGAGGCGTTTATTTTCTAATTAAAGTGAATTGGAGCCAAAGCTATAGGAGCAGCCAGTAGTATGGTCTCTCTCTGGTTTCTCTGGTCTCTCTGTGGTTTCTCTGGTCTCTCTGTGGTTTCTCTGGTCTCTCTGTGGTTTCTCTTTTATCTCTTGCTGGTTTTTCTCTGGTTTCTCTCTCTCTCTGACCTGTCCCTAGCCTCTCTCTGTTCTCGCTCTTATCTATCTGTGGTTTCTCTCTGGTCTCTCGTTCTGGCCTTTCCCTGGTCTCTCTCTGGCATTTCTGGTCTCTCCCTGTTTTTTTCTCCGGTCTCTCTCCGGCCTCTCTCTGGTTAATCTCTGTAACTGAATCAATCAAAAACATAAATACTATTAAGTATGGCTAGGATAAATCGTATTTTGCAATCTCTTGTCATGAGAATATTGAGGATGGATTGTGTCTGTTGTGTAACGGGACTTTTTGAGTGATAGAATACTGTTGCTTTTTGTAAAACTTTTCTCCACTCTTTTCAAACCTCAAAACATCAGGTACTGTGCTTGTATTCATTGAAACTTTATTAGTACAAAGACATACATTCGTAAAATGTTCTTCAAATATCTAACAGTACAAACTCACCCACAGAAGGCTTTTTTCTTCTTTGTTTGTCTCTCGTGGCCTTCAATGTGTGACAGCTCACATTAGCTTCTAATTTCTCACCGACCGTTGCTATGGGTGACATTTTTCAAATTAATTTCTCTGCTTCAGCCCCTGACAACACAATATGTAGTCCTGTATGAGACCAAAGTGTAACACACATTTTGCCCCGGATTCAGATGAAATAACAACATTCTGGACTGTTCGAATGAATGTTGGGGTCCATGGTCTGGCTGGATGAATGCACAGCGCGACTCAAAATGTTGCTATCTTTAATTAACAATATTTGGATAGTATAGTGATTTGAGTTTGTATTTTGTTCTACACCAGTATTATGCAAAGAATAGAGATAGAACATAGAGAGACCAGAAAGAGAGACATCAGAGACCAGAGAGAGACCAGAGAGAGACCAGAGAGAGACCAGAGAGAGACCAGAGAGAGACCAGAGAGAGACCAGAGAGAGACCAGAGAGAGACCAGAGAGAGACCAGAGAGAGACCAGAGAGAGACCAGAGAGAGACCAGAGAGAGACCAGAGAGAGACCAGAGAGAGACCAGAGAGAGACCAGAGAGAGACCAGAGAGAAAGACCAGAGAGAGTAGAGACCAGAGAGAAAGACCAGAGAGAGTACAGAGAGTTACAAAAGAGATTGAAAAGAAATACCAGAGACCAAACAGAGACGAGAGAGACTAGAAAGAGATACCAGAGAGAGACCTAAGGGAGAGATCAGAGAGCTACCTGACAGAGTTTAAAAGAGAGTTAAAAGAGAGTTAAGAGGGAGATAGCGAAGAGATACCAGAGATAGCCCAGAGAGAGAGAGCACCACTTAGTTATCTAAAAACAGACATCAGAATCTTACTCTTGTGTTTTTAGACAGTTTCTGTGGAGTTTCCGGCTGCCGGGAGAAGCTCAGAAGATCGACCGCATGATGGAGGCCTTTGCGACTCGATACTGCCTCTGTAACCCAGGGGTGTTCCAGTCCACCGGTACGACTACTCTTAAACCACCTTAATATGTCCATCCAACTATAGCTTTCAAATATTAAAATGCATATGGGGCTAATGATAAATAACCGGATACTTCCAGGTCCAGGCTAAAGCTAATTATAAAGAAAAATTATTTATTTCATGTTGTAGCTACCAGTTTTGCCACACTATAGAGTTGTTGACATTAGCTTAGCATAGTTAACAGAGCAGGTGTTAGCACGACGTTAGCTCACCATAGCAATTCAAGCAAACTCGTTCTTACGTTTTTTCTTCCCCTCCAGAACAGAGACAGCAATGTTTTTACCTTGACACGTTTCTTCAGACTTCCTCAGAAGCTGGAAAGGGATTGCAAAAATGAGTCAAAAATGTTTCAAATTTGGCAAACTGGATCTTAATTTGAGCACATTCTGCCTCAAAACAAGATTTGCTGATGGGACAAACCAAAATGATTGGGTTTCAAAAAGATACAAGAAATGTCTCCCTTGGAATGAGAAAATAAAGCGACAGCTCTTGAAATGAGACTAGAGGTCTTTGTCCCATTGCAGAATCTTGTTTTAAGGCCGTAAAACTCTGGAGCTATGATTGCACTTGGTTCAGAGGTATTTACAGAGAATGTAGAGAATGCAGAGAATATGACCAGAATAAACAATAGCAATAATATCAGCAGGTAAAGTGACTAGTGATATAAGATAAACCTTTGTAAACTAATATCCGGAGATTAGAAGTGTAGAGGTCAATAACAACGGTGATATTTGCAACTTTGTGGCTTTGTTTTGGCGCAGACACATGTTACATCCTGTCCTTCGCCGTCATCATGCTCAACACCAGCCTCCACAATCCCAACGTCCGGGACAAACCCAGTCTGCAGTACTTTATCTCCATGAACCACGGCATCAACAACGGACAAGACCTGCCTCACGAGCTGCTGTCGGTGAGTCCAAGTCCAGGTCCAAAACTGGTTTTAGTTTAGACCTGAATGTTCACCGTCTTCAGCACAGTCAGACTTACAACATTTAAGATTTAGATTTTTTGTTTATATTGTTTTCATATTTTAGGAATTTTAGAACACACACAAGTAGCACCTTTTGCTCTGATTACTGATTCACACACATTCTGGCATTCTCTTGATGAGCTTCAAGAGGAACTGAAATGGTCGCCAACAGTCTTGAAGGAGTTCCCAGAGATGCTTAGCACTTGTTGGCTCCTTCACTCTGTGGTCCAGCTCACCCCAAAACCATCTGGATTGGGTTCAGGTCCGGTGACTGTGGAGGTCATCTAGCCCAGCACCACCACTCTCCTTATTGGTTAAATAGCCCTTACACAGCCTGGTGTGAATCTACAGTCAATAGTCATGAAAAGAAAGGAAGAAATTAATTGAATGTGTATATCACACACACACATAATCGTACACCCTAATATTCACAGTATATGACAAGCGTACACACACACACACACACACACACAATAATGTTGAGCATAGATTCCTTTATTCCCAATCTTGTTTTGAGTATTTTGAAGAAACTTTATCTTTTTCATCAGAAAAAAAAGCAGACTTCCACACAATGTATTAATCAACAAAACTCTTTTCCAACTCGTGTTCCTTGTAATTTTCTCTTGTGCGGTGATTGACATAATCAATAAAAAAATCTTTCAGGCCTTCAGCTTCACACAAAGTCTACCTCGACTTTGATTATTTTATGAGAAAATATATGTACGTCTCGTTAGTTACTCTCACACACAGAACTGTTTCATAAGACTTTGATACGCACAATACCTTCCAGTCCCTGAAGCTCAAACTTTGAATCCAGGCTTTGTGGGCTTTTTCATCATTTACTAAACTGGTGTGAGACAAGTATGGACATATACATTTGAATCTTATTACTTATCACTTAGAAATAACACAAAAATATGCAATTGTTTTCATATTTCTTGGAATATTTTTTCATGTGACAATAAACATCTATTTTGGGATCATCTTTGGATAATGAATCTGCTCACTGTATGAATAAAACACTTACACATTACACAAGTTTCATTCCGAACAATTCCTTTAGCTCTTTTTAATGTTCGGCAATGTTGTTGTTGACAATAGAATGTTGTTTAAGTTATCATTTAATTGAGTCGTATATGTGGCTAAAATGGTGGTTGCCTTTAGTTTACTTTTGACGCCGGAATGTCTGGACGAAGGGGGTTTTGTTAATCCATATTTAATCCATTTTGCCGAGAGGAAGCATGGGCCGTTTATTTACGCCTAAACAGGAGGATTACTTTACTGTTAATAAGGAACGTCTTGTCTTGGTCTTTTCTTGTCTTGGTCTGTTCTTGGTCTTGTCTTGGTCTTTTCTTGGTCTTGTCTCGGTCTTTTCTTGGTCTTTTCTTGTTCTTTTCTTGGTCTTTTCTCGGTCTTTTCTTGGTCTTGTCTTGGTCTGTTCTTGGTCTTGTCTTGGTCTTGTCTTGTTCTTTTCTTGGTCTCATCTTGGTCTTATCTTGGTCTTGTCTTGGTCTTGTCTTGGTCTTGTCTCGGTCTTGTCTCGGTCTTGTCTTGGTCTTGTCTCGGCCGTGTCTCGGTCTTGTCTTGGTCTTTTCTTGGTCTTTTCTTGGTCTTTTCTTGTTCTTTTCTTGGTCTTGTCTTGGTCTGTTCTTGGGTCTGTTCTTGGTCTTGTCTTGGTCTTGTCTTGTTCTTTTCTTGGTCTTTTCTTGGTCTTTTCTTGGTCTTGTCTTGGTCTGTTCTTGGTCTTGTCTTGGTCTGTTCTTGGTCTTGTCTTGGTCTTGTCTTGGTCTTGTTTCGGTCTTGTCTTGGTCTTGTCTTGTCTTGGTCTTGTCTCGGCCGTGTCTTGGTCTTGTCTTGGTCTTTTCTTGGTCTTTTCTTGGTCTTTTCTTGGTCTTTTCTTGTTCTTTTCTTGTTCTTTTCTTGGTCTTGTCTTGGTCTGTTCTTGGTCTGTTCTTGGTCTTGTCTTGGTCTTGTCTTGTTCTTTTCTTGGTCTTTTCTTGGTCTTTTCTTGGTCTTTTCTTGGGGTTGTCTTGGTCTGTTCTTGGTCTTGTCTTGGTCTTGTCTTGGTCTTTTCTTGTCTTGGTCTGTTCTTGGTCTTGTCTTGGTCTTTTCTTGGTCTTTTCTTGGTCTTTTCTTGGTCTTTTCTTGGTCTTTTCTTGTTCTTTTCTCGGTCTTTTCTTGGTCTCTTCTTGGTCTGTTCTTGGTCTTGTCTTGGTCTTGTCTTGTTCTTTTCTTGGTCTCATCTTGGTCTTATCTTGGTCTTGTCTTGGTCTTGTCTTGGTCTTGTCTCGGTCTTGTCTCGGTCTTGTCTTGGTCTTGTCTCGGCCGTGTCTCGGTCTTGTCTTGGTCTTGTCTTGGTCTTTTCTTGTTCTTTTCTTGTTCTTTTCTTGTTCTTTTCTTGGTCTTGTCTTGGTCTGTTCTTGGGTCTGTTCTTGGTCTTGTCTTGGTCTTGTCTTGTTCTTTTCTTGGTCTTTTCTTGGTCTTTTCTTGGTCTTGTCTTGGTCTGTTCTTGGTCTTGTCTTGGTCTGTTCTTGGTCTGTTCTTGGTCTGTTCTTGGTCTGTTCTTGGTCTTGTCTTGGTCTTGTCTTGGTCTTGTCTTGGTCTTGTTTCGGTCTTGTCTTGGTCTTGTGTTGGTCTTTTCTAGGTCTTGTCTTGGTCTTATCTTGGTCTTTTCTTGGTCTTGTCTTGGTCTTGTCTTGGTCTTGTCTTGGTCTTGTCTTGGTCTTGTCTTGGTCTTGTCTTGGTCTTGGTCTTGTCTTGGTCTTGGTCTTGTCTCGGCCGTGTCTTGGTCTTGTCTTGGTCTTTTCTTGGTCTTTTCTTGTTCTTTTCTTGTTCTTTTCTTGGTCTTGTCTTGGTCTGTTCTTGGTCTTGTCTTGGTCTGTTCTTGGTCTTGTCTTGGTCTTGTCTTGTTCTTTTCTTGGTCTTTTCTTGGTCTTTTCTTGGTCTTGTCTTGGTCTGTTCTTGGTCTTGTCTTGGTCTGTTCTTGGTCTTGTCTTGGTCTTGTCTTGGTCTTGTTTCGGTCTTTTCTTGGTCTTGTGTTGGTCTTTTCTAGGTCTTGTCTTGGTCTTATCTTGGTCTTATCTTGGTCTTATCTTGGTCTTTTCTTGGTCTTGTCTTGGTCTTGTCTTGGTCTTGTCTTGGTCTTGTCTTGTTCTTGTCTTGGTCTTGGTCTTGTCTTGGTCTTGTCTTGTCTTGGTCTTGTCTTGGTCTTGTCTCGGCCGTGTCTTGGTCTTGTCTTGGTCTTTTCTTGGTCTTTTCTTGGTCTTTTCTTGGTCTTTTCTTGTTCTTTTCTTGTTCTTTTCTTGGTCTTGTCTTGGTCTGTTCTTGGTCTTGTCTTGGTCTGTTCTTGGTCTTGTCTTGGTCTTGTCTTGTTCTTTTCTTGGTCTTTTCTTGGTCTTTTCTTGGTCTTGTCTTGGTCTTGTCTTGTTCTTTTCTTGGTCTTTTCTTGGTCTTTTCTTGGTCTTGTCTTGGTCTGTTCTTGGTCTGTTCTTGGACTTGTCTTGGTCTGTTCTTGGTCTTGTCTTGGTCTTGTCTTGGTCTTGTCTTGGTCTTGTTTCGGTCTTGTCTTGGTCTTGTGTTGGTCTTTTCTAGGTCTTGTCTTGGTCTTATCTTGGTCTTATCTTGGTCTTTTCTTGGTCTTGTCTTGGTCTTGTCTTGGTCTTGTCTTGGTCTTGTCTTGGTCTTGGTCTTGGTCTTGTCTTGGTCTTGTCTCGGCCATGTCTCGGTCTTGTCTTGGTCTTTTCTTGGTCTTTTCTTGTTCTTTTCTTGTTCTTTTCTTGGTCTTGTCTTGGTCTGTTCTTGGTCTTGTCTTGGTCTGTTCTTGGTCTTGTCTTGGTCTTGTCTTGTTCTTTTCTTGGTCTTTTCTTGGTCTTTTCTTGGTCTTGTCTTGGTCTGTTCTTGGTCTTGTCTTGGTCTGTTCTTGGTCTTGTCTTGGTCTTGTCTTGGTCTTGTTTCGGTCTTTTCTTGGTCTTGTGTTGGTCTTTTCTAGGTCTTGTCTTGGTCTTATCTTGGTCTTATCTTGGTCTTTTCTTGGTCTTGTCTTGGTCTTGTCTTGGTCTTGTCTTGTTCTTGTCTTGGTCTTGGTCTTGTCTTGTCTTGGTCTGTTCTTGGTCTTGTCTTGGTCTGTTCTTGGTCTTGTCTTGGTCTTGTCTTGTTCTTTTCTTGGTCTTTTCTTGGTCTTTTCTTGGTCTTGTCTTGGTCTGTTCTTGGTCTTGTCTTGGTCTGTTCTTGGTCTTGTCTTGGTCTGTTCTTGGTCTTGTCTTGGTCTTGTCTTGGTCTTGTTTCGGTCTTGTCTCTTGGTCTTGTTTCGGTCTTGTCTTGGTCTTGTGTTGGTCTTTTCTAGGTCTTGTCTTGGTCTTGTCTTGTTCTTTTCTTGTTCTTTTCTTGGTCTTGTCTTGGTCTGTTCTTGGTCTTGTCTTGGTCTGTTCTTGGTCTTGTCTTGGTCTTGTCTTGTTCTTTTCTTGGTCTTTTCTTGGTCTTGTCTTGGTCTGTTCTTGGTCTTGTCTTGGTCTGTTCTTGGTCTTGTCTTGGTCTTGTCTTGGTCTTGTTTCGGTCTTGTCTTGGTCTTGTGTTGGTCTTTTCTAGGTCTTGTCTTGGTCTTATCTTGGTCTTATCTTGGTCTTTTCTTGGTCTTGTCTTGGTCTTGTCTTGTTCTTTTCTTGTTCTTTTCTTGGTCTTTTCTTGGTCTTGTCTTGGTCTGTTCTTGGTCTTGTCTTGGTCTTGTCTTGTTCTTTTCTTGGTCTTTTCTTGTTCTTTTCTTGGTCTTGTCTTGGTCTGTTCTTGGTCTTGTCTTGGTCTTGTCTTGGTCTTGGTCTTGGTCTTGTCTTGGTCTTGTCTCGGCCGTGTCTCGGTCTTGTCTTGGTCTTTTCTTGGTCTTTTCTTGTTCTTTTCTTGTTCTTTTCTTGGTCTTGTCTTGGTCTGTTCTTGGTCTTGTCTTGGTCTGTTCTTGGTCTGTTCTTGGTCTTGTCTTGGTCTTGTCTTGTTCTTTTCTTGGTCTTTTCTTGGTCTTGTCTTGGTCTGTTCTTGGTCTTGTCTTGGTCTGTTCTTGGTCTTGTCTTGGTCTTGTCTTGGTCTTGTTTCGGTCTTTTCTTGGTCTTGTGTTGGTCTTTTCTAGGTCTTGTCTTGGTCTTATCTTGGTCTTATCTTGGTCTTTTCTTGGTCTTGTCTTGGTCTTGTCTTGGTCTTGTCTTGTTCTTGTCTTGGTCTTGGTCTTGTCTTGTCTTGGTCTGTTCTTGGTCTTGTCTTGGTCTGTTCTTGGTCTTGTCTTGGTCTTGTCTTGTTCTTTTCTTGGTCTTTTCTTGGTCTTTTCTTGGTCTTGTCTTGGTCTGTTCTTGGTCTTGTCTTGGTCTGTTCTTGGTCTTGTCTTGGTCTTGTCTTGGTCTTGTTTCGGTCTTGTCTCTTGGTCTTGTTTCGGTCTTGTCTTGGTCTTGTGTTGGTCTTTTCTAGGTCTTGTCTTGGTCTTGTCTTGTTCTTTTCTTGTTCTTTTCTTGGTCTTGTCTTGGTCTGTTCTTGGTCTTGTCTTGGTCTGTTCTTGGTCTTGTCTTGGTCTTGTCTTGTTCTTTTCTTGGTCTTTTCTTGGTCTTGTCTTGGTCTGTTCTTGGTCTTGTCTTGGTCTGTTCTTGGTCTTGTCTTGGTCTTGTCTTGGTCTTGTTTCGGTCTTGTCTTGGTCTTGTGTTGGTCTTTTCTAGGTCTTGTCTTGGTCTTATCTTGGTCTTATCTTGGTCTTTTCTTGGTCTTGTCTTGGTCTTGTCTTGTTCTTTTCTTGTTCTTTTCTTGGTCTTTTCTTGGTCTTGTCTTGGTCTGTTCTTGGTCTTGTCTTGGTCTTGTCTTGTTCTTTTCTTGGTCTTTTCTTGTTCTTTTCTTGGTCTTGTCTTGGTCTGTTCTTGGTCTTGTCTTGGTCTTGTCTTGTTCTTTTCTTGGTCTTTTCTTGGTCTTTTCTTGGTCTTTTCTTGGTCTTGTCTTGGTCTGTTCTTGGTCTTGTCTTGGTCTTGTTTCGGTCTTGTCTTGGTCTTGTGTGGGTCTTTTCTAGGTCTTGTCTTGGTCTTATCTTGGTCTTATCTTGGTCTTTTCTTGGTCTTGTCTTGGTCTTGTCTTGGTCTTGTCTTGTCTTGGTCTTGTCTTGGTCTTGCCATTGTCTCCACACAGTGGCAGAAGCGAGTCACCGAACACACTGGCGCACCAAAGCCTCCGACCAACACCATCCATTCACTCACTCAATGTGTGTCTGGTCTACCAAAAGAAAATTACAGCCTGTTCTGGTTCAGATCTGCTCTGAAGGAGGCGTCGCTCTGTGCTCTGCCTCCGTCAAGACATTTTCTCCTTGGACTGGGCAACAAGTAAAAAGAACGCCTCAACTATGTCTGTTTGTGTGTGGGATTTTGTCCAAGTTTGACTCTAGTTTAAAATTAGCATTAACAGTTATGCCTTGTTTCGTTTCTGTCTTGTTTTGCTAAACCCTTTGACTTTACTTTGTGTGAACTGTGCTGTACAAATAAACTTGCCTTGCCTATTTCTTTCTGTAGAAGTTGTACGCGAGCATTCGAAGTGAGCCGTTCAAAATCCCAGAGGACGATGGGAATGACCTCACGCTCACCTTTTTCAACCCGGACAGAGAAGGCTGGCTGCTCAAGACCGGTAAGAACTATGTACTGTAAGGGATAATGTATAGAAAATAAGATAATAAGTACCGATATATATACGGCTTTTTGTCAACTGAACACACAGAATAAACTTCAGTCCACTTTTATGAATGCTTAAAGGTTTATTTAATGACTGAAAATAAAATAGTTCCCAAAGGTTCTGCCGTGCCGTGGCTATAGGCTAGTAACAGCTAGGCTAGCTACTTAAAAATTCTGATCATCAGCTGTGAGTGACCCATTTATTTACTCAACCTAATCCGATCCTCTGCACATGGGTTCTAATTTTGTTTATTGTCAATGGTTACTTCAGGGCTTACTACGATCTCATTTTTGTCGCATTAAAACAAATCTGCTGACAATAAACAATGATGAATGATTTGATATTACATTCAAATCAATGGAGCGTACTATTGCTAACTACTGCTGCTGTGAGGAGCTGTTTAATAAACTGAAATAATGAGAATATTTTAGGAATCATTTTTTGGTTCATTGGGTCTTTTGAATAATGCTATGAATTACTGTTTAATTATTGTTACAGTAAACCACTATTAGAAATGTCATTGCTTTTAATTTTAAACATCTAACATAAGATTGTGTGAGGTAGATTAATCCGGCTTAAAGGAGCAAACATTTTCAGAAGAATTTGTCGAATTCGGAGACAATACTACAACACTTTTGTTTTTAAAATGCAGAATAAAAGCCTTGGACATGATGTGACAGTCTAAGGATTCCTCATAGTGTACCGCGTTTGAGACAGGAGCATTTAGACAGAAGGGACGGGGGAATGTGCCGGAAGCTTCTGACATTAAGTACAGTAAGTCCAGGTTTGTTTCCGATGAGATAACAATTAACACAAGGATAAACGCCCAAAAAAGATGATTTTGCATGAAACCTCTTTGAATCTGGGCTGCCTTATGTTTAAAATCTAATCTGTAGTTTTATGTTATGTATTGCTTTTCTTGTGGTTTGAAAGTTACATAAACCCCAGCTTTAACATTAGGACTCGCAGAATTCGGAAACTACTTGAACTCCCACAGTTGTCATTTTGACTTTTGAGATATTCCCCCAAATAATTATTTTTCACCAGATTCATCAAAAGAAAGTGCTAAAACTGGCCATGCTAACTGAAATACGGGGCAAAATAAGGCTAACGCTAACTTCCGACGGTAAACAGTACGTTGCTATGGTAACTAGCACTTGATAATCTCAGGTGGGAAATGACTTAAGGGAATAACTTCTCTCCTTTCAAAAGTAAATGTAAACAATGTAAAGATGACCATAAAGAAGACCAAGAATGCATTTGAGACGAGTAAATAGACTTTCAAAACTAAAAGCTGTTGAATTGACTGCTTTGGGTGTTCTAGTGTTAAGTGGCACCTGATATATACTGTAAGAGTGAATCATTGAGTTAGTCGTTCTGTTTGGTTTCAGGCGGCAGGGTGAAAACGTGGAAGAGACGCTGGTTCATTCTGACAGACAGCTGCTTGTATTACTTCAAATACACAACTGTAAGACTTATCTGTATAATTTTGGCATCTTTCTTTACTATGAACTACTGTTTCTTTCACATCCGCACTATGGCAAAGAGTAATACTTATGCTAAAATAACCCATCGGACGCCTAGCATTCTTTCATACCATTTATTTAAAAGAAAAAAAAACGCTATCTCTGCTTCCTCCAGGACAAAGACCCCATCGGCATCATCCCGCTGGAGAACCTGTGTGTGCGGGAGCTGCAGGACTCTGGCAAACCGGTAAAGGGCCTGTTTCATATCATTTATACAAAGCAAATACATAGGAGTGAATTCAACATGAGTCCAAGATGGCCGACTCATTTTAGGATAGGAAAGTGATCCGTCTTGCATTCACTTACTAGGACAGTGCCCACATGATCATCTGTGGAAGAGAGTAAAACAAAAACATTGGAACAATCTTCAAAAATGAATATATGGTGAGATAAAAGAGATAAAAGTGTGTCTTGTAATGGAGAGATTTATAACAGTAATTACAGTGATAATAGACAACATTTCCTCATAAACTGAATAGAAAGCTGTCGGTGTACTGGCAATATGCAATATATACTGTATATAAAAGACAAGTGAATTGCATTTGTGAAAAGTCAAATTGTACACGATTTGTCAATGGGACAAGCTGATATGTCTTGATTTAACAGAGACAAAAGCCTTCTCCCTTGGATTGAGAGATCATTTGTAACTGCACTAGAAATAAGACAAAAACTACATATTCTTTTCGTGGCAATTCCTATGGACGAGAAATTAGGCAAAATGTTTTATGTCGAGAGTGTTGTAACTTATCTTTTGACATTATCCTGATAAAAGACTTTATCATCGGTGAAATCTTCTCCAGTTTCCCGGTTTGACCAAAATCATTTCACACAAAGAGCAAGAGGGAGCAATCCTGTATTTGTGGATTTTACAGACTTTTCGACTAAATCTATTTGATGTCAATGAAAAAGAAAGAAGAAACTATTTTGGCTTTTGCTCTTCAGCTCTCCTCACATCTGTGTTTTTCTCCTCAGTTCTGCCTGGAGTTGTTCAGCCCTAAAGCTCAGAAAGTGAAGGCTTGTAAGACGGAGCCCAGGGGCCGCGTGGTGCAGGGCAAGCACCAGTCCTACACACTCAGTGCCTCCAGCGCAGAGGACCGAGAGGCCTGGGTCCAAGCTATCAGGTCAAAACACACAAAAAACGTGACAGTTTTAGAGACGAGAATCCATGTCCATCACACAGAGTTGAATCCACTCCAAATCCAAAGGTTTTAGGTTGAATTACAATCCATTTGAGAGACAAAAGAGACAAGGTTATCCACTTCCAAAAATAATTTTCTTGATTTCCAAATGATAATGTTCAGCACGGTGGCAGCATGATAGTTGGGTTTGATACCAACTCCAGGCCTGTCTCTGTGAAGTTTGCATGTTCTCCCTGTGTCTGCGGTCATGTTGTATGTGACTGTAAATTGCAATGAAGTGAATCTGTGTATTGTTTTTAATCCTGGAAAAATCATGTAAATATATGTATTAGATCATTCAAGACGGGTAGGACTTCATAAGCTTCAAAATTCCTCCCACTCCTTTGAGCATCACATTATTTTTTTTATTTTTATTTTTGCACTTCACAATTGTTTTGATTTTTTTTAAAGGGACAGTGCATATTAATATACATTATACATGCAGAAATAGCCTAAGGGTTATTTTCCAAAATCTTGCATTTGTTTCAACAGATGCTCAAATTAATACAATAAATACGTAAAATACAGATATTCTAGACAATATTGGTGAATTGTCTTTTGCCGAAGGAAGAGCATTGCATCCGTCACAGCCAGGAAAATTCTAGAAACAATTAGGCCCTGTCCACACGAAGTCAAGCTCAGGCCTAAACGCAAAAATACTTTATCAATCCAGTGTATCGTCCATACGAGGCCGGCGTTTTGCGGGGGTGTAAACGAACATTTTTGAAAGTAGGTCCCAGAGTGGAAATATTTCAAAACTCCGTATATGCCGCTCCGTGGTTACTGCCTCTCCGCAATGTATCTGAGACGCTTGCGTCATCGCCCCGCCTCTTGTTAAAGCACGCATGCGCCGCACTCAGAAAATAATGACAACAACAATGTAGCTTGTTGGTTTTGTAATCCAGTGTGACCCGAAGCAACAGTTCAACCTCATCGTCCGTCCATACTAATGCAGTACCAGCTCGCCCACTCGCCATGTTGTCTGTTTACAAAATTCTGCGCATGCCCAGTTCCCGTCACGGAAGTTTGGGCTTGATCCCGTCATTGCGTCACAGCGCCACCAACAGGTCTGGCATAGTTTCACAGCGTTTTCAGGCGTATTGACTACATTCATATGGACGCACACATTTACTGAGCTAACTCCGTGTTTACAGAAAAAGTTTCTGAAATTATAAGCGTTTTGTCTTCGTGTGGATATAGCCTTAGTGTTTGGAGTCACATTATACATACTGTAGCGGAAAAAGAACCAATTGGGTTGTCCTATCAAAAACCCAATTTACATTCAAATAATGTCAAAGGTTCTCGACTCTACATACCATGCTCACATTCGATTATTCTCCGTGATGAGTGGATACAGCCAGCCACTTTACAGCACTCACTCACAGAAGAAAGATGGCTTATTCTTTCCTTAGATAAAAGATGCTTGTCCTTTTTTTGCAGCACCCGTGAATTGAGCATAGCGGCTCATATTCTTCTGCATGTCGACTGAATATCAAATCCTATTCAAATCAATTCAGTTTGCTTTTGCACAGCCCTAGATCACAACGGTAGTCGTCTCGAAGGGCTTTACAAAGTTGTCGATTCACTTACAGCAACAGATCAGAGAATCAAACAGCTGTCAGATGCCGTTGGTCCATAGGGAGAGCGGGATGACCTTTGTCTATAAATGTTAATAAATGTCCACAAAAGTCTGGGATCGTAACAGTTCTTAGACCTTTCTGCATCGGCAAGAAACGAGTCAAATTGAATCCTGCTGGAAAAAAGTGAGAAACCTCTTGGAGAGACACAATACAACTTTTTTATGTGAAATTAAAACGTGTATATTTTTGCAAATTTGACTTTGTAACTCCCCAGTGGCTGTATGACTGGTCAGCATGGTGCCTTAACCCTGCCCCATCTCTGTGTGGAGTGATAGACATCTGTAAAGTGCTGTGGTCTGGGAAAGGCGCTAAAATACACCTAGATTAAATACATAGATGAAATACATATACATAGATTACTTGCCTAACATTTGAACAGGGCTGTGTCTACAATGATCCACAGTCAATTGTCTTGTCTGAGGTCTTACAAAATAAGAAACCTCCCATAAAATGTATCCTATAGAATCCTAGAATAAATGAATGAATGCATAGTGGGTGGAGAGGTCCTTCCTCAAGTGGAGGAGTTCAAGTATCTCGGGGTCTTGTTCACGAGTGAGGGAAGAATGGAGCGTGAGATTGACAGGCGGATCGGTGCAGCGTGCGCAATGATGCGGTCGCTGTATCGGACCGTTGTGGTAAAGAGGGAGCTGAGCCGAAAGGCAAAGCTCTCGATTTACCGGTCAATCTTCGTTCCCTCCCTCACCTATGGTCATGAGCTTTGGGTAATGACCGAAAGAACGAGATCGCGGATTCAAGCGGTCGAAATGAGCTTCCCTTAGAGATAGGGTGAGGAGCTCAGTCACACGGGAGGAGCTCGGAGTAGAGCCGCTGCTACTCAACGTCGAGAGGAACCAGTTGAGGTGGCTCGGGCATCTGTTCCGGATGCCTCCTGGACGCCTCCCTGGGGAGGTGTTCCGGGCACGTCCCACCGGGACGAGGCCCCGGGGAAGACCTAGGACACGCTGGAGAGACTATGTCTCTCTGCTGGCCTGGGAACGCCTTGGGATCCCCCCGGACGAGCTAGAGGAGGTGTGTGTGGATAGGGAAGTCTTGGCGTCTCTGCTTAGACTGCTGCCCCCGCGACCCGGCAACGGATGAAGCGGAAGAAAATGGATGAATGGAATGCATAGTTTTTATTTTTAAAGCGTGGATAAGAAATACAAACATTTACATGCAGAAAAATAGAATGGAAAAAATGCAAACAAAAATACCTGTACATAGTTATGGAGAATGGATTGGCTGAAGCAAAAAATCCTTCCATTCATTCAAACACACACAATACACTGCAAAAATTGTTCAAATTAGGCAAACTGTGACTTAATTTCAGAATCAGAATCAGAATCATTTTTATTGCCACGTAAGTAACAAAGTTACCACTTGGAAATTGTTTTGGCAGAGAGCGTGCCACTTCGCCATTTGCGGCGCTGTGTGCAGCAAGAAACTGCAGAGAGCAATAACATACAGTTCACAGACAATTGGATAGACACATTGTGCTTTGTATAAACCACAGATTTTTTTCTCGGGATGAGCACCTCTGACTGCCGGCCCAATGTGGCTGTCAGAGGGGGCAGGGTCAGGGAGGGGGTGAGTCGGAAACACAATGAGGAGTGGAGGGGAGGGAGGGAGCAAGATGCATAGGTAGAGGGAGGCGGGGGGAGCGGGATCCGAGCTGGAGACTGAATAGTGTGAGTTGTTGTAGATGGGGACCTTGTTTTATGGCCTTGAGGAATGTGAGATAAGAGTGGAGAGAAGACACAGCAGGAGAAAAACCCATTGCCTGAGAGGGACAATATTATATGCAATGTAGCAGTCAAAAGCAGGCAGATATTCTATTAAATCCAATTAAACCGAATTGCGGCGCCCTCAGACCTCCGTACACAGGGGCAAATCCAAGCCGGGTCAGAGAGTTCAAGCCTGACACACGATGTCATTCAATCTCATCTCCAATGTTTTATTCCCTTTGAGTGAACGAGCTGCGAGGTCTTTTATCAACTGTTCCACCAAAACCACTCTCCTTTGTCCAGACACGGCACTCTCAACCACGACGCGGCTTAACGCCTTGTACATCCCATCAATTTTGTAGAAGAGGACCGCTCCAAACCCAAACAGGAAGATCCCCACCACCAAAATGCCAAAGATATATACGTCTTCCGAATCTTCAATAAACGGGGTCGACAGGGGCTGAAACTTGTTCCAGCTGTCAAGAGTATACCCCGCAGTTAATCATCAGCCACCAGTTAATCATTTCCATTCTTGTTAAAGTTGTCTGTGGCAAAACTCCAGGAAAAAGACAAAAACAGGAGATAGCAGGCAGTCAGAAGCAGGAGCGGTCTGAGACACGACTTTGCTTGACGGAGGAGGAAGGAGGAGAGGCAGTCACAATTTGCGAACATTGTGACTGCCTTAGAACAACCACAAGTTCACACATTTTCTCACATAAAAACTACCATTAAATAGCAACCTAATGCCCCATTGATAATGTAAACTTTGACTCAGGTTGAGAGAAAATGTTGTTAGTCAGCTTTGTTCATATATACTTGCTTTTCATCCACTGCTCAAATTCCTTTTCAACAAATATTATAAACTGTAGTTCCATATAATCGTCATATTTTCTCTCTCTTTGTTCACAGAGCCAGCATCAGCAAAGACCCTTTTTATGACTTGGTCTCAGTTCGAAAACGGAAAGTGATTAAGTCTACGTCGACATGAGGAGAGCTGAGAACAGAAGGCTGAAGCTTTAGAACTGCAAAACCCAAATGCCACTTTGAACGCAAAATCAACTCTATCCGACGGCTTCCACCTCCTTGGGCAGAGTTAGAGTGACTTTCTGAGAGTCGAGAATGGAGGTAATTATACTGTTTGCACTTTAGAATAAGCCGTCTGCTCCCTGTGGTGAAGCCGTCTACAGAACATGTCATTCCATTTCTTATATTGGTATTAGAGATTCTTGATCCTGTATTTATCCAGGACTGTATCCAGGACTGAAGCTTGTCTACACCAGGTCTCACTAAGGTCTGACTCTGGCACAAACAGTGACAGAAGCACATGAGAGATGTGTTAAAGGTGTTGTCTGAAACTTTAAAGTAGCAACATGTAAGATTTTCATGTCAATTCATCATTAAATGGCCCTAATCTGTCAAAAGGCATTAATAAATCATGCTCTTTTCCACTACTCCTTTAACTGATAGCAGTAGTTTAGCCGAGATCTTCGAATTTCAAAATTAGTTGTGCAGCCCCTAAATCTTGGTATTGTTTTAATTTCGATGTCCCGCCCTCCATAGTTTTACCAATCAGAAAGTCCGTGATCCGGGTTGCCAGAACTCACCGCGTCGCGCTAATCTCACTGGTAAAGTACCATGTGGCCGCAGAACTCAAAAAGGTCTTGTTTTGATTTTCAAATCATGAATAACAAAACAAGGAATAAAACGGGGAATTCTATCTATGGCCTTTTGTTGTTGACAAAACATTTGACTGTTCAGATGTTATGGACCCAGCTGCATATCTGGCAACCTGAGTCAGGGAGAGTGGGAGAGGTTGCAGTACCACTTTTGGGCCATGATTTTACATACTGCTTCTTTAATTGTATTTCATCTTCAAAATAATTAATATATTTGACCCTGATTAGGAATATTATTATGTTTGTATGTTAAATAGTCTCTCCCCCTGGAATACGTTTTGAGGGAGGAAAATGTCAGTATTTTGGTAATGTCTTTGTAAATCCAGATATTTTCTGACTGACCAACTGACCAATTCCCTGAATATGACTTTGCACGTAGCGCGAGCAAGACCAACTGCACTTTTCTTTGGCTCTTTGGTCTTTGATCTGTAAATGTCTCAATTGTGGGATCAATAAATGCGTATCTTATCTTGGTTGCTAGGTGGTTGCTACCCAATAGAATACTAGTATACAGCTCAAATGTGTCTTAATTTTTGCACATTGTGACTGCCTTAAAACGGGATTTACAAATGGGACATGCCAAATGATCTTGTTTTACAAAGATACAAGAAAAGTCGCCCTTGGAATGAGAAAATAAATGAACAGTTCTTGAATTTAGACTAAATGGCTTCGTCCCATTGGTTAATCTCGTTTTAAGAATGTACTCAAAGAAGGATTAAAACCACTCGGTTCCAGCAATTATTACCTCATTATCGAAGATGGTTTTCACTGACAGTATTCTTGTTTTCAAAGCTAGTGCCTGAAAAGTTATAATCAGACTGAAACAAGCCCCCGCTTTTAAAAACAAATGTTTGAAAATGTTTTATTTTTTAATTTTGACAGTGTTGACGATGTTGGTGTTCATATTTTATTGTAGTTCATCATGCGCCTTTGCGAAAGAAAGTTTGGACAGCCCTGGGCAAGACCTTCTCCAGTTCTAAAGCAGGTCTAACCACAGAAAGAGCAGAGTAAAAACACAAAAGCATTCGTTCTGGTGAATCTGACCTGCGTCTCGCCACAGCGTCCCTGAATCTCCCTCCAATGCCATTCCACCAAACTCTTTTCAAACACAAACTTTATTCTTTCATTCAGCTCGTAACAACAACTTCTGCAGTCTAAAACTTGTTGTATTTCAATTGTAACATTTTACAAAGTCTATATGCTACTTATTAATGTACAGTATTTAATATTATAAATGAATAAAATGTATAACAACATATTTTTGTTTAGTTTGGTTTGTGTCCACAGTTTTAGAATAGTTCTATGCCAAATCTTAATATGGATGTACTCAGACCAGTGGGGGCGGGTCCCGGTGCTGGCCGGTGGGGGTGTACCCAGAAAGAGAATAATCCAATGCTTTTGTATGGTGTCTTCTTTTGGCTCAGTCTCACAGCAGAATGTATTGATCTAATTTCTAAACAATTTCACTGCACCTCACCACAAAGCCATAGCACCAGCACAGACCGGAGGTTAAAGGACCGTTATAAGTTCACAGGGAATGACCTCACGCCTCTTTGTGCGTTTAGTCGTGCATACTTTTTTCTAGTTATTTTTCACCTGTGGCTTATGTAGCGGTGCGGCTAATGAGTGTTTTATTTTTTTTATTCATCCCATAGTGGAGTGTTGCATCACCAATAACAGAGCAGTAGGAATAAGGAGCACACAACACACTGAATGAACAACCTCATACTAAAACACAATTAAAAGCACAAAGCACAAGAAAAGTGAACAACAACTCTATTTTAAATTTAAAATAAAATCTTCAACATAATAAAGGACAAAGACAAAATTCTCTATAGCTTAAGAAGCAAGTAAACAATCACTAGCTTTAGCATCATAAAAAAGCAGACAACTACGCTTCTGTGAGGACCAGGACGAGCCTCTTATCACCTGTAGACACACTGAGCTCCAGGTGTGCTCTGGGGGTATGTGAGCCCTGTGTTTGATCCAGGCCGATGCAGACCACAGCTTGGGTCCAAGGGCCAGGGCCAGGCCCAGGGACGTCACTTCTTTCACCCGAGTGTGCTCTGGAGAGAGTGACCTACAGCCCAAGCATCAGTCTCCTCCATCACCGTCACCTCTGGCTGATGCACCTTGTCTTGACTTGTCTCCAATTCCTCAAACGCCACACGTCAGACAGAGAAGATGTGAACCTTCAGAGTCGCACCAACCAAGTTTTGAGTCTGGATCAGGCACAAATAGAAAAAAAGACACGGGACAAGAGGCAAGCAACAAGGATTACAGTAACTGTTGGTTAAATGTTGCTTTTTCTTGTGCTTTGGTGTTTTGTTGCTTAATTTTATGTTTTTTTGTAGATACAAAACATTAAGTATTTTAAGGTACATTGGAGGAATTTCCCAAATTTTAGGAAAGTACCACCCTCTCCACTTTTTGAAAACAAACTCTCTGGTCTTATTTGATGAGCACATATCCACAGAATGACTGACAATTAGTAGAACCAATAGATTTGATGATTCACCCGGAAGAAGAAAATCCTCCTATATACAGAAATACAATAAAATAATAAAACATGGCACTAACGATTTCTTCTGTGCTTTTTTCTAAACTTTTCACCACTTCATAAGAGCAGTGTTGTGTGAGTCTGGTTTGTGCGATTGATGTTGGTCTGAGGGTCCAATGGCACTGATCAAGCCTCACTTCTGTCAGTCCGCCCCAGGCCACAACCGAGTATGGAGTGCCTGAATAATGCCTTGTGATTTGTCTTTAATATATGCGCTGTAGGAAACCGATGCATTATGGTCGACGGTAAAAACACCTGACTTTTTCCTCCAGCTCCATTAGATGTTAGTGCCATGTTCCTCCAGGTGGCGCTAAAGTCCTGCTCTCTGCTCCTGGATTGTTTCATATGTGAAGTGATGTGGGGTAAGATAATATCTTGTTGTTTGGTGCTTTTTCTGTCAGTGTGCGTGTGTCTCTGTGTGCGTGCGTGTGTCTCTGTGTGTGTGCCTGTGTGTCTCTCTGTGTGTGTCTGTGTGTGTCTGTGTGCGTGTGTGTCTCTTACAAAAACAGTATTTACATGTCAAGTTGTCAGAAACGTTCACATTATTTCCTCTCTTCCGCGCTGCCCTTGAACGCGCCTCAGTGCATTCATTATTTAGGTTAGGTTAATGCGACGGCGTCTTGTTGAGTTTCTCTCTCGGGGTCTCGAGTAACGCGACACCTCCCCCTGATCACTTTTCCTGTAGTCGTGGTAACCGGCGTGCACCTATGCGCCCGGGTCACACCTCAGCGGACACTCGAAGCCCGGGAGTGAGTTTTCACATTATAGCACTGTTTCCACCAGCTCTACTTGGCCCTACTCTACTCTACTCTACTCTGCTCAAGTCATTGCAACTCTATGATGCTTTAGTATCTGGTACTGTATCCGAGTAAACTACCGACAAAAACACAGTATCCATGCAAATTCCTTGGTAGAGTGGAGTAGGGCCTGCTTCATTGAGTGAACCCCAGGGCATGTTGCTTCATGGTGAATTTGTGTCGAAATGTAAACTTTTTTTCTGATCATTTTTTATCATAAGGATTTAAGCGACTTTCAAAGGCTTGTTTTAGACATAAGTAAATGGCTGAGTTCTAAATATGTAAATCATTTTCATGATTTAAAGACTTTGCATTTTCACCTGAAGTGGTGTAACTTTGCACTCTTTATAACACAACATTCCGTCTTTAGTTGAGCTGATCACTATATGAACAATGTCCATTACATTTGCTGAGCATTCACCAAGAGGAGGCTCACGAGGAAGACCCAGGCCCTGCAGGAGGAGTGTGGCTCAGCCGGCCTGGAAGTGTGAGCTCATGCTGCTACTGCAACCTGGCTCTTGATAAAGCGGAAGCAAATAGATCTCTATAATTGAAGTATACATCGACAGTAAAATGTATGCTGCAGTGAATAGTTCGGAAGAGCTTGAAATACAGATGTAAACATTTATGAGAATAGCAGTAATTGCAGTATTAAACAGTTGTTTTGTCTGGCCATTTAAATACATTTTCTCGACACATGTAAACTACGTTCAGACATATTTTAGTGCGATCAATGAGAGAAAGCAGTAGCCTTTCCACTTCCTGTCACATGCAGCGTTTGGAAGACAATTTTTAAAACAATCATTCTGGTTCATTGTAGGAGAAAGCAGAGGAGACACTCAGAACATCTCTTTGCATTGATAGTGTGTTGGACTAAGGCGTGAGCTGTTGAGTTGGCAACTTGTAAATATTGACCAGGTGATTTCAGAAAGATGAGATCAAACAGTGCCACGCCCAAAGGCACAAAGGCAGTAAACGGTCTCTTATCACAGTAACACGCTCAGGTTTGAGTCTGTATAATCCACGTACGGCCGAGATCACTGCTGGATACAGGCCTTCTTCGGGTTTCGCCGTCGACTTTTGGAACCTGGAGATGAAAAACACAAAGTAATGTTATTGTTGTTCTGTGTTCTGTCAAAGTCGGTCCTTAGTGCACCATGTCACTGCTGTGCTGAGGAACTGCAGGTTCAGATCACTTCAACCAAAGTCCAGCCCATCCTAATGCTGCTCATATCCACTGTTTTGTTTTTTGTTTTGTTTTTTGTTTTTTTGAGACCTTCCTCGCTGATCCAGGATGGTCCAAGGACAATGATGATCTGAGACATTTAAGGACAATTATTAACATTTATGGACATTGGACAAGCCACTCCCTATCGACCAATGTCTCCTTTGTCTTTGTTGTTTTTGCATTTCTTGTGCTCAAACTGTTTGAAGATTTTATTTGCCATTGGCAGTGAAAGTGTGCCAGACTACGACAGTGTGCACCAGACAGAGAAGATGCTACACACCAGAGCTCTTTCTACAGCACGCTTTTTCTGAAGCCATGCAACAAATAGTAGAGCAGAAAAGAGCAGTTACACACATTTATCAAGGACAAGTTGGACCGACATGTTATTTTTGACTATTTTTTGATTGGGTGAAAATGCCAAAAGCCTTGCCCAATGTGGGCGGCCAGAGGGAATGGATTGGGACTGAGTACTCAGAGGCCGATTGTTAAATAGTTGTTTTGATCTGGTCTATTGTCTATTGTTGAATCAACAACTTTGTAAAGTCCTCCGAGACGACTGCTGTTTTGATTTAGAGCGATACAAAAATAAATGTAATTGAACCCAGCCATCCATTTCTTCCACTTTATCCAAAAGAAATAAATAGAGAAAAAAGACAAAGGTTCACAAATTATGACATTTTTGAAACTAATTGAATGTTACATGAGACTATTCCAAAAATACCCGTGAGTCACCATTAGCTCTTGCGGTTTCACTTCAGCTCTTTATCTTAACTGTGTCCTTTTGGTTGTGGGTTTTGAGAAATGACGTGAGCAAAAAGTAAAGAGAAGACATGTGGCTTTCTGACAGTAGTGACTCAGAGCGGACTCGTGGCTCAGCTTCAGAGACGTGGGCGGATCTTCACTCACTTGGGTGTTTAAAGATAAGATAATTATTATTTGTTCCACAGAGGGGAATTTTGATGTTGTGGCGCAGACACAGGACAGTAGCATGAGCACACAAGGAGCACACAAAACATGCACAGATAAGTCGCTGAGATCGCTTCACACGAGCAGAAAGTAAATATCTAATTTATATTAATGTGTAAGAACCACATTCTTCTTATTTGAGATGTTTAGTTCTGGTTTAAAACTCTGTTGTTCCTGGTTGAGTATTATTTTTGTCCTGGGTTTAGTGCTGGTTTAGGCCTAGTTTAGTCCTGGCTTAGGCCTAGTTTAGTCCTGGCTTATACGTGGTTTAGTCCTAGTTCAGTCCTGCTTTAGTCTTTTTTTCAACTGATAATGAATGCAATTTTGGGAAAACACAGATTGATGCATAACTTTATAAAAACTTCTCCAAAATCAATATCTCCTCTTCTTTTTCATTCACTTTAAAGTCATTTTTTGACTAAACACAGAACATTACAAGTATCGATTGTAATTTTGGGTCCACCATGGTTCAGTGAATTCTGTTGATAAAACTACTTTGTGTTGAAATGACTTTTGTGAGAAAGTGAAAAGTATGGAAAAAATCCCAAACTCATTAATTATTCAATATTCTGTCTTTGATAATTGTGCTGATTCAGAGGCGTCGTGTTCTGGCCTGTTTGAATGTGTTGCAGCTCCCACCGGCTCTGGATGTGCTTTTGAATCAGAACATGGACTTCACAAATGCAAACTCAAGATTTATATCCAAGGGAAACTACATGGCTGGATATTCATATACCATAATATACAAATACTATACGCTGCTACTTTTTTATACTTATTTGAACCATGCGGCTTATATGGCGATGCGTGTGTATATTTATTTTTGTGATAGAGTTAGGCACATTTTTGGAATTTCCCGATGAAGAGCCAACCTTTAATTTAGAATAATCCTAGTTTATTCCTGTATATTCCTATGAATTCCCATTATTCCAAAGGAAAAGTTTCTATTCACGAGATTTTGCAACCAGAAATATCATTATTTTTACCTCTTTTGGGCTTTTCACCATGTAAAAATAATGATATTTCTGGTTCAAAGTTACAAATACCAGTCAAAGCTATCATCCCACTCATCAATCGTCATCTGTAACTTTGCTTAAAATGGGTCAGGGCCATAGATTGTAAATATTAATGGACGTAGTCACACCTATGTCCGCTGTTGAAACTAATGTGCCACCATCGCTGTCTATGAGCAGTTTCAAAATGGCCGCGGGGGCTGGAACATGTGAAAAAACGCATCTGTGTGCGCGTCAGCCGGCACTAGCCCTATTTGTTTAATGAGTGCCTTCAAAATTCCACAGCGACTGAACTAGACTGGTCCAAAAAAGTGTACTCCCCTCTGGATTGTAGCTTTGGGCCAAGAGCGACTTTTGAACCATCCTGTAAAGCCGTTTTAGAGAGGAAAGAAGCATTGGCAAATTCATACTCTGGGTTCACCGGCATAAGAATGAGAAAATGCCCAAAGGTGATATTGCAAGCATGTCAGCGCATGTCATTTTGGGCATTTTTGAGACGGGACCCGCCCCCACCGGTTTGGGCTAAAGTTATGGTTAGGGTAGTGTATTTAAAGCATAAAGTAGTTATTAGTTCAAAATCTCTACCCACCGTCTTCTCCCGCGGTGACGTTGATGGCTTGCAACGACACGCTTCTGTTGACGAGTTTCCCAATCTTCTTGCTCTTGCTCTTCAGCGTTCCTGGTTTCTCCAAGATTTCAAACCCGTCCTCAGATTCGTTCCCCCCGTTTGCGTCCACCAACAAAACCTTCCCGTTGTGAACCGGACTGTGCGACGCTCCCGCTTTTCCGTTCTGCACTGGACTTTGCTGGGTCACCACGCCTTCGTCTATGGTCTCCGGCGGCGAATTGTTCGTCTGCTTTACTCTCCGGAGATGTTTGAACGACGGCAGATGCTTCTTGCTGTGGATTTTCTTCCCGTGGGGCTTGGAGTCGTGCTCCTCGTCGGCTAGGTTCGACGTAGAGCTTTCCATGTCGGACTTGTCTAGTTTAATATGAAACTGACTAGTTGCCGTTTGCGGAGTTGTCGGAGTGGACGCGCCAACCACCGACTTGCTAGCTACCGAAAGATCTTGCAGCGATCTCGTCAAACCGGTGCCATTTCCAAAAACTAGGGAATATTTTGGATTGTGGTATTTATGCGCCGGGACTTTGAAGTCGATTTTCTTAGTGTCGCCGATGGAAACCTGGAATCGCGACGTGGTAACGGACAAGGGCTTGACGGGCTCGGCTTTTGTCTTTGGGACGTGGACGGCGACGGGCGGTTTGGTGATGTTGAACTCGTGATACAGGTCCACTTGTTCAGAAATGGCGTAAAGTTCTCTGAAGTCCTGGTCGAAGTGGTCCACGACTTGTCCCGTCATGACTGTGATGGTGTTTCGGTCCATACGAGACGAACTCCACGTAAAACTGAAAGACAGAAGAAATAGTTTAGTTCATTTTAGTCAAGTTTTTGGTTTCTTTTGCCTGCCAATGCAGGCGGGTGCAAGGACAGTGGGGATGATCCAGGACACTCTACATTCAATGATATTTATGGACTTTATTAACATTTATCAACATTAGTCATCTGCCCCTTATGGATCAAAGTTTAATTGAATTGCATGTCTTGTGTTTAAACGATAGTAGCTCAGTTGGTAGAGCATTGGCCTTTGAGCCTGAAGGTCGTGGGTTCAAGCCCACCTCAAGATCTACTTCACTTCTCACTTCGCAAGACACTTAACCCCACTTTGCCTGAAGCCCCCACTGAAAGATCTCAGCTCATGTGGACTCACCACCTGTAGGAGGATCAGTGAGGGGCTGGTGCTCTGAACTGGGTGCAGCTCTGACTGCCACCCCCCCGACCCAGAAATGGATTAAGGGGAAGAAAATGGATGGATGGATGGATGAGTGTTTAAACTGTTTTATTCTCTGATCTGTGTTGGCGAATTCAACGGATTTGTAAAGTCCTCTGTGAAAAATACTGTATCCCATGTTGACGACATATATACTACGAATACATACATATTCAATAGAAAAAAAAATCATCTCCTTTCATCTCATAACCCAAGTGGTTATGTTCAAAGGTTACAAAGGTAAATGATTATGCCCTGGTCTTTTACAATGTACTTGATAACATTGCAGTACACACACAAGTATAAATCAAGTAACAACACGGAATGTATTTCTGGGAGCAGCAAATATATCCCCTTAGTGTTGGTCTAAGTGGAACTGGGAGAGGTATGCCAAATGAAGTCATATACAATAAACACACACACACACACACACACACACACAGTAAATGAGGATATAACACACACCTGTGAAATAGCATATACTAATGTTAATGTAGCGCCTGTGGCTTATTCTGTACATGAGATGTGACACAGCAGCAGCATCTGGGAATGTTATGTTCTTCGTTTTTTTCTTGTGAGTTCAAGGCTTTTTTATTCTGTAAAGTACTGAGAAATACTTTGTGTACAAACTATGAACTCAAACAAACTCACCTTGCTTACAAAACACAAGTTATGATGAGGCTTCTGAACCGAGGTCATTGATTACCTACTTATTTACTTACCCACGGATAAAACACATCACCTCCTTGTCCTTATTTCTTTTTTTAAACCAGATAAAAAGGAAAAATCGCATTAAAAAGATGCCTCAATGCAGAAGGTCAGCTTTAAAACTTTTACTAAAATGACTGAATATCTATGTTCTGTCATAGTTTATGTATTAATTCGAGGTCTCTGGCACCTTTTCTCACACTGACGAAGGCCATTAAAACATTTCTCATGAGTGTCAATGGAGGCTTTAGTGTTATTGTACAATTCATACAGTGCAAGGTTTAGGGCATTTGTTATACTGCATCGTTCTATATGTGTGGAAGAATTTGATAAGAGAGGAAACAACATTAGAATGGGTAGAATTTGGACCTTGAGAACCTGCTTTCTCTTTTAACTTAACACGCAATTGGTCATTAAACATTGTCCCTCACATTAAAATTGTCCCTCAGCAATAAACACTGACAGTCCAAGAGGATAAGTGACCAATTTCAACACTGCTTCACATCTGTATTGAATTATATGTATACACTGTGATTCATAAAGTAACTAATATCAATAAAAAACTACTAATAATACAAATACAATACTACAAATAATAGGAAAAAAAAAATCAATCAATTAATCAATTATCTTTGTAGAGCATTTTACAACATTCAAGGTGACCAAAGTGCTTCACAATAAAATTACATAAAATCCATTAAAACATGTATACATTCACACAATAAAAGTTAAAAAAAATCATTAATACAAAAAGAAAAATTGAAAATAAGTAAACAATCTGCCAATTCAAAAGAGCAGTCTCAGATGAGGTCTGCTCTGGCCTCCTCTCACGATGCTAATGTGGCCTTTCTCTGGGCAGCTCTGATGCATGACCGTCTCCCCCTCGTGACAGAACCCCACATCCATAACACCGACCGACTGGAGCCAAAACAACGGATTCATCTCCACTGTGTCCCGAGCATTCAAATCAAGCCAGGCCGGTCTCAAAACAAAGGATTATGAAGATTGTCTGGTCTTTGTGTCAACCCCAAGCATCGAGAACTCTGACCATCAACATCCATTCAACCCACACCAACCCATTTTTTTAGTGGTAGGGGAAACCGGAGCACCTGGAGGCAACCTACGCAGTCACAGGGAGAACGTGCAAACTCCACACAGAATGGGGCGACAGTGGCTCAGTTGGTAGAGCCTTCGAGCCTGAAGGTCGTGGGTTTGAGCCCAATTTGAGACCTTCTCCACCAACTCCACTGATGTCTGCTGTCGTTGTGTCCTTGGGCAAGGCACTTCACCCACTTGCCTATAAGGAACGAGGAAGTGCTTTTCGCTGCTTGCCTTAATGTGTATATCGTGTGTATGTGTATGCATTAAACTGAAATAAATGACCTTCTTCTTGAGGTGGAGTTGAACCAGGACACGGCACAAGCTCAAGTGTTTAGAACAGATATCTACAAAGAGACTGAATAAATGTACCATGTATCATTTCTAAAGATTCACCCTCATACTTCAACTCCTCTGTGTGAAATGTATAAAGTTACAGAAGTAATTATGTTCTGAAGCCGCAGACAACACTGCAGTCTTTCACAGAACCCTCGTCTGGATCAAACAAAGCTTTTTTTTTGTGTTTCTGTAAAAGATCCTCACTCAACTTAATCAATACCATTTTTCCTAAAAGCTCAAGGCTGAGACCGGGCTGCAATTCAACAAATGACTTAGTAGCAAAGCACACGGGAGAAACGACGATTACTATTTGTAAGAGGACAAAGCATAAGAGAAATCATTTGTATATGTCGTTTACTCAAAGTATAGCATGTATGTGATAATAGTATGTATTTTCTTGCTTTCCCCTGCATCACACCAACTGTTTTTAAAGACTTAACGTGCCAAGTTTTTCTTCGGATTCAGTGATATGATATTTTATTGATCCGTGTAGAAGAAATTCAGGTGTCCAGTAGCAGCAAATACACATCCATCCACACAAACAAAACAAAATAAATAAATAAGAGCTAACAATAGTAATAAAAAGAAACCGCAATGATGAATAGTGAAGATGTAAACAAGCAGATTGTATATTCAAAGATACATGGCTAATCAATATCCATTTAAACGCGATATACCCAGTAGCAGACAAAAGCTATAGAACTGAAACGAACTTTAGGACATGAACGCACCCCATTCCATAGAAATATAGAAAGTTCTCAGTTGTGATGTGGATCAGGGGAAGCTATGTGTGACACAGACTGTGAAAAATACATGAGTTTCCAGAGGTTTCCAGGATAGAGGAGAGTCCGCCTGCTGCTCACCTGTAGGATCCGAACATGACTTTCTCTCCGTCCACCAGCATGTACTTAGAGCAGAGGGAGCCGGGCAGCCTCCCGTAGGACAGGGCCAGACCGGCGCCTCGCAGCAGACGCACACGCAGGTTCTGACAGGAGCACACAACACAGAAAGAACTTCAGCGGACGATACAAATGCAACTTTTACACACTTTTTTCAATCGCTTCAGAGAGCGATGGAGCTGCGCCTGAGAGTTTTCATAGGCAGGCAGGAACGTCATGTGTTAATTCAAAGTGTTTGTGTGTCGCTCTAAATCACAACAGCAGTCGTCTCAAAGGACTTTACAAATTTGGAGATTCTTCAGCCACAGGTCAAACTCAAAGGCAAAAACAGGTAAACATAACCTGCGAGAGAGAAAAAACAGAGGAAGACCAAACCAAGAGACCAGAGACCAGAGAGATAGAGAGACCAGAGAGAGTCAAGAGAGAGACCACAGTGACACCAGAGAGATAGAGAGACCAGAGAGACACCAGAGAGATAGAGAGACCAGAGAGAGAGTCCAGAGAGACACCAGAGAGATAGAGAGACCAGAGAGAGCGACTAGAGAGAGAGTCAAGAGAGAGTCCAGAGAGGGAAACCAGAGAGAGATCATGGAGAGAGAGAACCAGAGAGAGTCCAGAAAGAGACTCCAGAGAAAGACAGAGATATGTGAGAAACCAGAGAGAAAGACCAGAGGGAGAAAGACCAGAGGGAGACCAGAGGAAGACCACAGAGAGAGACCAGGGAGATACCAGAGAGAGAGAGAGAGTCCTCTGAACTAACCAGAAAGAGAAATCACATAACTCCTGTTTTAGCCTCTCCACTGGCCTGTCTATTTTATACTCATTTTTAAGTACGTTCACTATATTTAAAAGCGTTGAATGGTCAAGGCCCGGCCTACATCGCCAACTCACTAACAGTTTATAATCCAAACAGAATACTGCGGTCCTCCTACTGGAGGTTTGAGGAAACACAGGGAATACAAATTGGGGATGGAGTTTTTGCTAATCATGCCCAGTGGCGGCTGGTGGAATTTTCTACTGGGGGGGCTATGAATATGACATGTCATATGATATGTCCCCTTAAACACAGTGGCGGTCTGCAGGTGTTCATGTAGTACTGCATCCAGTGATGCTACAAGATCCACCAATCCTCTGAAAACACCAGGATTTCCTGAGGATTCACTTTCATCATGGCCTCGCAGGGCAAGTTCAAATGCACCACAGAATTTGACACAGTCTATTATTTTTGATAGGATGTGCCTATTCTTGTCAACCTCCTCATTGTGCTTTCTGATCCCTACCCTGTAGCTTTCATCCAGCTGGGATGAAATATTTATCTTCCCAAACATAGCTAATTTGAGGGCATTTTGCATGTGGATACCAGTCTGCTCATGCTTCTTTGCCTTTTCTAAAAAGTGCTTCAGATCAGTCATACCTGTCTTGATCCATGCTGGGTCAGATCCTGATGTTTGAAACAAGAGGCATGGAAAGCAAAATAAAGCATTAGCCTCGCTACATGCTGCTAGCCAAGATTTGGCGCTGAACCAGGTCCTGGAAAAAGTACGAGTGTACCGTCTCCCCCTGTCGCTGGACTGCTGACTAATGGTAATATTTGGCTGATCAGGTCCAAGCTCTTTAACCTCAACCTTCTCCTGGTATGATCTTCTCTCAAACGGTATTGTTTTGAGTGATCTAACTGAATTATTCTTTTTCTCGTTCTCCATTTTGCGTCTGTTTACGTTCGTCTCAAACTCCCACAGCTTGACCTGTCAATCACTGTAAACGGACGTCACAGACAGTGACAGTACAGGTCGCGGGCGATCCCGCCCCCTCAGGGCGCACATCTCCTGCGCCCCCAAATTGTCTTATCTCTTGCATTGAAGAGGAGCTACTGCGCATGTACAACTTTTAACGAGAGTCCATAGACGGCTCAGGGCGCAATCTTTTGCGCCCTGAGGCGGAAATACGTCCTCAGTCCGACACAGACAACGCTGATGAGCTTAATCAATCCAACTCAGCATAAACTATAAAGTATTTCTTCCACATCTGAAATAAAACACACATACATTTCGAAATATTTTAATGTTATTATTTTTTTTAACGTTTTATTCAAGGTAACATGGCAAGTTGTGAGTGGTGGGGCGGCGCCCTAGCGCCCTCTATTGGCCGGCCGCCACTGATCATGCCCCAAAACTATGGAAGTCTCTCCCTCTCGACATTAGAACCTGCGGCTCCCTTAACATTTTTAAATCCAAACTAAAAACATGCTTTTGATTCACTTATTACCCTCTCCTTGGGTTTGTATCTACTTTTAAATATTTGTTCTGCTGCCAAGTGACTATCAATGATTTGTATAAGATGTCAGCTATTGTTTTATTCTGTTTTTAATTTGTGGTTGTGAAGCATTTTGAATTGCAATTATCTTAAAGGTGGGACATAAATAAAGAAATTATTATTATAATTGTTTCAACATGAAAAGCCTTGTCATTTGTTAATGTCATCATCTCAGGTCATTTTCATCCCCTTTATTATTCCATTTCCATTTGTTTATTTTTCAGAGATTGAAATATGCAAGCGATTTAAAAAAATAAATGATTAAACATCACTTGCTAATGTTTTTTTTTTTCATCTCTCACATCTTTCCATCTCTGGGCTTGAATAGACACTTATCGCTGCATTATTCAGCCCACTCTTAACGGCTCAGTCACACCTGGAGTTGAGAGCCAGGAGACGCATCTGTGTGTTTAAAGGGAAGAGACTGAAATAACAAGCTGTATGCACATAAGTGACTCAACACGTTCCCGGCCAGGGCTCACCTGACTCTGAGAGAGACCCAGTGCTCACGTCACCCATACCGTTTGTCTTATTATGGAAGAAGCCGATTCATAATAATAAAAAAAATCCATCAAGCTTGTGTAGCGCTTTTTTTGGACACTCAAAGATGCTTCACATGGGGTATAAAAAAACACGAAAAATTGAGATAACAGAAAAGCTTGTTTGAAAAGATGGGGTTTTGAGTACTGACTTCAAGTTTTGTAGTGTAGTCCGATATATTGTGCAGCCCTAATTTGTATCAACCGTCACTTTGTATCACTTAAAATCTTTTGTCCCTGTAGCTTGTTGGTGATATGGACTTTGGCGTGTGTTTGGGCTTGTATTGTTGTATTGTGTTCATATGTTTGTATATGGTCCACTTCATATCAAATCGCTTTTATGAATCTGAATCTACAGCAAACTTCCATCTGTAGTCCCTCATTCATTCTAAACTATGGTATACATTTTTAGAGGTAAGGGAAACCGGAACACCCAAACCTGGACTTAGTCTGGGATGCTTTTTATCTGGAGGTGGAAAATCAAACTCAAGACCTTCTTGCTGTGACGCACAAGTGTTAACCACTGTGCCAGCGTACAGTGTCTACAGTTTAACGGCTTGTTTGGTCAGGCTGAATTCAGAAACAGAAGGTGCCAGTCTGTTGTATGGGCTCATATCTGGATTTACATTGACAATATCCAAATAATAAAACATAGAACTTTTAAGCCCAAATGGTGAGTTTTACACGGTTATAGAGTAAACTAGAGAACTAAAACCACTCAAATATTTATAAGTAGTCATATTTTAATGAGGATAACATGCAAACAAAGACAAAAGGAGAGGAATAAGTAACTGAACCTTTGCCTTCGAGAGCAATTATTGGGCTTTTATTTTTCAAAATGTGTGTGTCCAATCACTGAAGAGTGGCTTGAAGCTGTCCCGCCCACTATAAAACACATTCTTGATTAGAAGCATGTCCTTCTGTGCTCCAGGCTTCTCTCAAAAGAGCTCTCTGAAGACCTGCCATTGAGAATAATTGATATAAATCTGGGAAAGGTTATAGAACCATCTCCAACAGTCTGGATCTTCATTGGTCCGCAGTTAAAGAGTCCGTCTACAGATAGAGATTACAAAGTTTGGCACTGTTGCTTCAATCCCAAAAAGTATCCATCCAACAATAATGACAAACATTCCAGACCACTGTATTTTCTTGCAGCTGTTACGATCACTTCTTCCTTATTGTTTGCATCCTTTTCAGAACAGGCCTATTATCGCTCCTTTTGTCACTTCTTCTCGGCTCGAGTTACGGGTTTTGTCGTCCCATAAGTGCATAAGTGTCACACAGTTCATTTACAGCCTGATCAGGTGACAGACGGAGATGTGTAAAATGGAAGACTGTTCTAATCCAGGTCGCCGTTTTCAGTGCAGTGATGTTTCAGTGGTTGCTTTGACTGATCCAGAGCCTCAGAAATTATTGTTGTTTTTTTACTTTAGATGTTATAAAATGTGAAATTATATCTTGAACAGAAAATATATGCGACATATCTGCTTCAGGGATATAAAAAAGGGATATCGACCTGTAACTCCCTTTGCTACCACCAGAGGGAGGAGATTTATCTGTTTTTTGAATATGTATGAATTTCCTAAGTCCTGGTTTTAGAGCCTGTCTGTCTGTGGGAACGGATTCCTCTCTCAATGTGGGCCTCCCCAGGTTTCTCGCTTTACCCCAGTGGGTTTTTTGAGTGGGTCTAAGGCAGGGATTTCACATCAGAGGCAAAAAAACAGGGCCTGACTGGTTCAATGTTTATTAAACATATTAAAATGACTGGTTCAATGTTTATTAAACACTGGTTCAATGTTTATTAAACATATTAAAATGATGATGATGACCTATTGAACCAACACCCAACACAGTGTACCATATTTACTTAATGAGTGGTAATAATCCAATATTTTTGTATGGCTGTCAGTAATTACAAGTGAAAACATTTTTCCACAGGCTCACAGACAAAAACAAACTTCCTTCTAAGAGAAAAAAACATGCCTCTTCCACAAAAGAACGTTGCTTTCCCTGATAAACTACCACAAATAATTTAGGGGCAATATGTTTGTCTTTAAAAGCAGGAAACTGGTCTGATGATGATGTCATAGTGGTACAATGACATCATACTATTACAGGACTGAGACAGGAGCTTTTAGATAGAAGGAACAGTTTGTTCCAGAAGTTCCTGATTTCAGAGTGGATGGATCTCAAAACAACTCCAGGTCTGTTTTGACGATAATTTGTCTCATTTAAACAGGAGGAGCTCAGAGTACAGCTGCTGCTTCTCCATGTGGAGAGGGGCTGGTTGAGGAGGCTTGAGCTTCCCCTGTGGAAGTGTTAGGGACATCCAGAAAGGAGACCAGGGCAGACCCAGGACACGCTGGAGGGACTGTGTCTCAGCAGGGTCTGAGAAACCCCAGATGAGTTGGAGGAGGGAGACAAATAAAGCAAAAGTAAATGAATGGATGGATATTTCATTTAAATTGGACGAGTCCGGCTCTCCTCTGTCTTCCCGTATGGTCTCAGTGGCTGGAACCCCTCCCCCTGGTGCCTTACCCTCAGATGCACGGCGCTGATCTGCAGCCTGGAGCACATGTCGAGGAAGTGGGGAACTCCGGCCGCGTCCAGGACGATGTAAACGGCCACTGCACGACGAGAGGAGGCGTCCAACAGGTCCTGAAGGATCTGCAGGTCTGTGAGGAGGTCCATGGAGATGGCCAGCACCTGTGGGACAGACACATGCATGTTAGGAGGTTCATGGAGATGGCCAGCACCTGTGGGACAGACACATGGATGTAAGGAGGTCCATGGAGATGGCCAGCACCTGTGGGACAGACACATGGATGTGAGGCGGTCCATGGAGATGGCCAGCACCTATGGGACAGACACATGGATGTGAGGAGGTCCATGGAGATGGCCAGCACCTATGGGACAGACACATGGATGTGAGGAGGTCCAGGGTCCACACAAGAACCCAGGATCACCCTTTTCTTACACACTGGGCTGTTGGGTTGAAATTCTTATTATTCAGAGTCTTTTTAAGGTGGGACACAACAGACAGATACATCTGAAATTTTGACAACACTAAAACGAGACCAGTTTAACAGCCCTTTGCTAAAACGTGGGTCTGAGACTAAACTTTGCATAATGACTGCGTAACAAGCCGTGTAACACGACTCTGCGCTTATGCACACCGTGTTCTGTACAAACTTGCTTTTCAAATGCTTGTTGCTCCACGTGGCTGATGAGCTCGCTGATTCCCTCTGGTCCTGGGATCTCACGCTGTGATAGTGATTCATTATACATGGCACCTTTTATGTATTTTGTAGATATATACTACAACACATTAAATAATCCTGAATTGAAATGTAGGACTTGGAGGTAAGAGCGTGGAAATGCTGGAGGTTGGAGATGAGTGCCAAAACAAATGGTGCGTGTGTGCGTTTGTGCGCGTGTATTTTTTCTTCTCTGTTTCTGGCCCCATGTATTTGAAACAACCTTGCTCATGTTCACATCGATACACAACTTTATTCGGTGTTCCAACATCGTACTGTCTTTGAGTATGTGAAAACTCCAGTAATAAATGCCATTTAAATTATATTATTTGTTTATGTTATAAAAATATATGTATTCACAGTTCTCTGCCACAACATTGAACCAACCTTGATGACGTCTAAGCCTCTGTGGTGGCATCAGAAACTCCATCTTATCTACTTTCATCCATCCTAATGTCAAAAGGGCAATGAAAAAGAAATCCGTTTGTATGTTAATTTTCCCGCACAATAACTCGGTTCAGTTTTACCAGTTCTACCACTGCAGCCAACGCCAACGATGCAGCTTCACTATAGAGGAGGTCACATGGTTCAAGGCTTTATGTGGATTCCAGTAACATTGGAAAAAACATTTCAAGAGTTTGTTTACCTGCCTACTGCGATAAGCATATGATTGGTCATTATTTGTTCCAGTATTCCAGACTATAGACAGACTATAGCTATACTGGGACAGGTAGACTTCAATTTAATGTATTAGTGAATAGCCCTAAATCACAACAGCAGTCACAAAGTTGTCAATTAATCAATAACAGATCAGAGATTCAAACAGTTTGAACACAGGAAATCTAATATTAACAAACACATAGCAGCCAAAGGTTTATAGGGAGCGGTATGACCATAGATGTTAATAAAATGTCCGTAAATTGCCGACTGAAGCAAGGCTGCCAATCCGCAAACTCACTGGAACCAAGGCTCTAGTGTTTCCGTGTTCAATGCCACTTTGAAAATAAGCTGCAAATAATAATCCTGGAAAACAATAGTACGTGGTAATGAATAGAGCAACACAATAAATACGCCTGCCTACATTTTATGACAACACGTTTGAAACTAGTTTTAATGCGACACAATCTGTAAAACTGCTCATGTTATCCTGTCTTATGGTATGTTTTGTATAGTATCAAATTTGTATCAATTTCAAGCCTTGTTTAAATGTTGGTGAAAAGTTCTTTACAAAGCAATGTGGGTTAAGTGTTTTGCAAAAGACTTAGGCCGAGTTTATTGATCCACAAGGGAAATTGACACAGTAGCATTTCAAAAATAATAAATACAAATAACAAAGGGACAGAACCGTTTACGCTACAGCCGTGCCATTGTGGAAAACCTGGTATTATCACAGTCACCCGACAGTACTAACCAACCAGGCCCCATTGAGTTCAGATGTGGCCATTTATCACAAAGGAATCATTTTCAAACACTTATCTATCATTAGCGGTGTTTCTGGGGAGGTTTTCCGGGCATGTCCAACAGGGAGAAGACCTCGGGAAAGACCCAAGGCACGCTAGAGGGACTTTATGGTCTGGAAACCCAAGTCTGGGAACCCCTCAGGATTCCCCCAGATGAGCTGGAGGAAGTGTGTTTTGATGGGGCAGTCTGGGCATCTCTGCTTAGACTGCTGCTCCCATGACTCGGCAACGGATAAACCGGAAGAGCATGGATGGATGGATGGATCAAAAGCAGTGGTAAAAGCAGTAATCATGATAATAATGATTATATGATATATGGCATCTACAGCAAACAGAAAAACAATATGTGTGCTTTAAACCTAACCAAACTTGTCGGACCAGCTGACAAAGCACCTGTGACTCTTCATATTTGAAAAAAAAAACATAGGGAAGTTCCTTGTGAGGTAATTTTGAAATCCCTGAACCGTTACAAGGCCAGCCCTGCCCCTCTGCAGTCATTACAGCCACAAAGACGTGATTCATAGAGCCTCAAGTCAGATCTGTGAGCGATGGGTTTGAACCTGTTTAAAACGCTGAGTCGTCACTAAACCTGTAACGTGCTCTTCCGATCCAAGGAATCAGAATAAGCCTTAGATTCTGCTTCATCTTCATCGCTGCACCACAAGTTTATTATCGTTATTGATGTTTGAACTTGAAATACCTTAATCAGTTCAATGTGATTATTTAAAAAGTAATTTATTTCCACAGAGGCATAAACAAGGAACAACAAATTTAATACCATCACTCTGTGTAATTGGGTTTCTAAAATCAGACAGAATTAGGAGCTGCTTGTTGGTGACTGTGTGGTTTGGTGACATCACAGCCGAAGAAAGGAGAGCTCTAAACAAGGAGAGATCAGAGACAGAGACCAGAGAGAGACCAGTGAGAGGCCAGAGAGAGAGACACCAGAGAGAGACCAGAGAGAGAGAGGCCAGAGAGAGAGACCAGAGAGAGAGAGGCCAGAGAGAGAGAGACACCAGAGAGAGACACCAGAGAGAGAGAGGCCAGAGAGAGACACCAGAGAGAGACCAGAGAGAGAGAGGCCAGAGAGAGAGACACCAGAGAGAGACCAGAGAGAGAGAAGCCAGAAAGAGAGACCAAAGACAGGCCAGAGAAAGATCAGAGAGAGAGGCCAGAGAGAGACCAGAGACCAGAGAGACCAGAGAGGCCAGAGAGAGAGACCAGAGAGAGAGGGACCAGAGAGAGAGGCCAGAAAGCGAGCGAGAGACCAGAGAGAGACCAGAGAGAGAGACCAGAGAGAGAGACCAGAGAGAGAGACCAGAGAGAGTGGCCAGAGAGAGACCAGAGAGAGACCATTGAGGGGCCAGAGAGAGAGACCAAAGAGAGGCCAGAGAGAAAGGCCACAGAGATTGGCCAGAGAGAGATTGACCAGAGAAAGAGACCAGAGAGAGACCAGAGAGAGAAAGACCAGAGATTGACCAGAGAGAGAAAAACCAGAGAGAGAAAGACCAGTGAGAGAAAGACCAGAGAGAGACCAGGGAGAGACCAAAAAAACTGAATCTGAATTTGATTTGAAAGTGCTTTAAAAGGGAACTCCCAGGAAGCTGCATTATGCTCATAACAAGAACCCCGAACCAGAACATGACAATCTGCACCTTAAATACAAACAATAAACACACATTTTACCCCTTCACACATCCGTACACTTTCAGTTTGTATTCCACTGTGACCTTTACCAGGCACTGGATCTTTCCGTAGAAACATGTGACAATCGCTTTGTTTCCTTAAAGTTAGTATAAGTTGGCGTCGGTCCCAGAATCCTTCACTGCTCTGTGTTTGAACCTGGCACAGAGACAATGGCATCTATCACAGTGACAGAGACACAGAGTCATCCAGCTCAATGCCAAGACTAAATGGTTAGAGAGAGAGTATACGTTGCTATACCAGCGTCAGGCAACAATGAACACATTTGTATCAACCGATATTATTAATCCTGCAGTTTTTTTGTATTATGAGAGTACGATTGTGTCAGTCTTCTATCACTTACTTTGGAGTCTCTACTGCTACTACAACTGCTACAACTGCTATTGCTGCTACTACTGCTACTACTGCTGCTAGTACTGCTACTGCTACTACTGCTACTACTGCTGCTAGTACTGCTACTACTACTGCTGCTACTACTGCTACTACTACTGCTGCTAGTACTGCTACTACTACTACTGCTAGTACTGCTACTACTACTGCTGCTACTACTGTTAATACTCCTGTTACTGCTACTACTACTACTACTTCTACTACAGTTTTTTTGGACTTTCAAATTTGATTCACATGTAAATTATTCATTCACTCCAAACACAAAGGCAATAAACCACTACAAACGGCCAAAGCTGCCCTAGGGCACACTGACAGAAGCAGGGCAACCAGTATGTGCCACCAACCATTCACACACACACCGGACTCATTCCAGCCAATGTGCGTGAAGTGCCTTGCCTAAAGACACAACAACTTGAGAGGTCTGACAGGATCTGGCTTTGACATCACCTTCTCTTCATATGTTGACTAATTCCTCGTCTTGTTTGGACTGATGTGATCTATGCAACATTAACTGGTGGCACGATCACAAAAGGTATTTGTGAACTTCTGACTACGGAAAGAATTCAGATCTATCGTGTGATGCCACAGTTCAGATTAGAGTCATGTGAGAATAGAAATACTTCTTTAAAACATTTCGAGTTCTTTAGCAAATTCTTTATTTAAGGCTTTTCATGACATGCAAAAGTATAGTTTTGTGTTTTTAAAAGTAAATAATGTAATCTAATTTAAAATAATAATATTGATTTGGATTTGACCAACACAGCACAATACATTTCTTTTTAGAGAATAGTAAAAATAAGGATAATATAGACATGACCTTAAAGCTAACCAAATAATACAGGGTGAATGAAAACATGTGGATTTATATGTTCTTTTAATCGACTACTTTACTTTG